CGCAGAGGGGCTGGCTCAGGTCCGCGTGCTGCCCGCAGGTGTCTGTCCTGGCCCGCCTGCCTGCGCTGGGGCTGCGTGTGCTGCAGCTGCACAAGCCCACCGACGGCCCCGCCGCGCCGAAATCCAGCGTGCGCCTGTACCTGCACGGCCGGGACTTGCCCGTGCGCAGCCAGGAGGCCCTACCCGCCCACGTCTTCCCGGCCGCCGCCGATGACTTCTGCCTGGAGAGCCAGCAGCTGCAGGCCTGCTTCTCGGGACACTCGGGCCTGCTGCAGGCGAGCGCGGGGGTCTGAGGGCGGTGGGGGGGTGGGGGGCGAAGGAGGGGAGCGGGGGGGACGCAGCGCTGCCCCGTGCAGCGTGTGCTCACCGCTGCGCCGGCCCGCGCCCCGCAGAGCATCCGCCGAGCCGGGGAGGAGTGGGAGCAGAGGGTGAGCAGCGAGTTCCTCATCTACGGCACCAGGACCTCCAAGGACAAAAGCGGAGCCTACCTCTTTCTGCCCGACGGCGAGGCCAAGGTACGGGGACCTGCTCCGAGAGCCAGCCGTGCCACGGCCACGCGAGTCCCGCCGGCAGCAGCCGCGGCACACCCCTCCTTCCCCCACAGCCCTACGCCCCCAAGGACCCCCCGGTAGTGCGCGTGACGGAGGGACCCATCTTCTCGGAGGTCGCCAGCTACTACCAGCACGTCCAGACCGTGGTGCGGCTTTACAACGTGCCGGGTGAGACAACGTGAGGCTGTGCCGGGGTGGGCGCTGGGCGACGCTGCCCGGGGGGTGCAGCCCCTCACTGCCTGCCCGCAGGGGTGGAGGGCCTGTCCCTGGAGGTGTCCTGCGTGGTGGACATCCGTGACCACGTCAACAAGGAGCTGGCCCTGCGCTTCAGCACCGACATCGAGAGCGATGACACCTTCTTCACAGACCTCAACGGTTTCCAGGTACCCGGCAGCCCAGGGAGGGACAGCAGCTGCCCTCGGGGGCGGGGGGGGGACACACAGTGCCCTGCCACCCATCACCGGGCGCCGCAGGAGCCACCTCCAGCCACTGACCTCTGTCCCTCGGCAGATCCAGCCCCGCAGGTACCAGCGGAAGCTGCCGCTGCAGGCTAACTTCTACCCCATGCCCACCATGGCCTACATCCAGGACCCGCAGAGCCGCCTGACGCTGCTCACGGCCCAGGCCCTGGGGGTCTCCAGCCTCGGGAGCGGTGAGCCGGCGGTGCCGCGGCCGGGGGGCTGCGCCTGCCGCAGGGCCGGGGCCACCCTCCTCGGGGGATGCTGGGGAGGAGGGTGCCCCGGGTTTGGCTCCCATTAAAGCCCCGGGTGCTGGGACCCCCTCTCCGCAGGCCAGCTGGAGGTGATCCTGGACCGGCGCCTCATGCAAGATGACAACCGGGGCCTGGGCCAAGGGCTGAAGGACAACAAGCGGACCTGCAACCGGTTCCGCCTCCTCCTGGAACGCCGTGCTGCCGCCAGCAAGGTGAGGCTGCAGGGCGGGGGTCCGGCACGGTGCCGCTCGCCCCGAGAGCCCAGCCCCGCCTTGGGACGCAGCAGGGTGGAGGTGTCTGCAGAAGGCGCTGCCGGGTGCCCCCCGTCCCCACCCCGGGCCACCGCGCTGGCACTACGCAGGGGCGTGGGGAGGGTGGGAGGGCAGAGCGGGCTCCGTCCCACAGGTGGGGTGCCGCCCCGGGCCGCCCCGCGCGATCACAGCGTTCTTGTCCCGTCCCCCCCGCCTCGCTGCTCTCTGTGCATGCGACATGCCACCCGTTCAGAGCTCCGGCTTCTTTTCCAAACTGGCCTCCGTGTTTAAAGCCTTGGGCTTCCCCGGCGCCGGGACTGGCAGCCCAGAGGTAACGGCCAGCCTGGCCCCACTGTGCCTCCCTGTCTCGTGCACTAGCTGCTAGCAACTAGCCCCGTAGCCTGACCGGCGGCCAGCCAGGGCCCGAGAGGCTGCCCGGCCGGCAGCCACCTCCCTGTTTGGGTGCTGGGGAGGGTGGCCATGCCTGGGCGGGGGGCCAGGTCTGGGTGTGCGGTGCCTGGTGGGGGGCTGCAAGGAGTGGGAGGCTCCGTGGGCTCTGTGCAGGCTCTGCTGCTGACCCGGGGGCTCTTTGCCAGGTGCAGGATGGCCGCCCCGTCAGCTTCCCCTCCCTGCTGAGCCACATCACCTCCATGCACCTGAACGCCGAGGCCCTGGTCATGCCCGTGGCCCAGGAGAAGCCGGCCCCACCAGCCCTGCGCTCCTTCCTGCCCCTTTCCGCCACCTTCCCCTGTGACTTCCACATCCTTAACCTGCGGACGCTGCAGGCGGAGGTGAGCTGCGCCCAGTGAGCGGGGCGGGCACGGCCGGGGGGCAGCAGGACCCTCGGGATGGGGGGGGGTCTTGCACCCGCCGTCCCCGGTATTGCACCTCACACCGCGGCTCCCCGGCAGGACGACTCGCTACCCTCGGCTGAGGCAGCCCTGATCCTGCACCGCAAAGGCTTTGACTGCAGCCTGGAGGCCAAGAACCTGGGATTTAACTGCACCACCAGCCAGGGCAAGGTAGGACCGGGCTGCCGCCTCCGCCCCGGGCCAGAGCCAGGCTGGAGCCCCCGACCCGGCTGGTGCCAGGGCTGCCTCCTGCATCCCGCACTCGTGCCAAGCCAGGATGGAGGCTGGAGGGGATCCCAGGCCCCCCCGCACCAGTATCCCAGAACCAGGGGTTGGTTAAGAGTCCCGCGGTGCTGCATGCAGCTCCACTCTGCCCCAGGCAAAGCGGAGGGTACTGGTTTCTCATAAAGGGAGGTCTGGAGCCTTCCGCCAGCCCTGCGTCCCCCAGTGAGGCAGGACAGAGCCTGGGCTGGGCCAGCGGGGTGCTCTGGCTGCCATGGCAGGCCTGCAAACTGCCCTTCTCCCGCTCTCCTCTCTCCCTAGCTGGCTCTGGGCAGCCTGTTCCAGGGGCTGGAGCTGGGGTCCCTGCAGCCCACCTCGCTGACTTTGATGTACCCTCTGGGCACGGCCTCCAACAGCACCAACATCCACCTGGACCCCATGGAAATCGCCACTTTCCGCATCCGCCTGGGGTAGTGTCTCCCGGAGCGGGAGAGGAGCAGACTGGCTGGGCAGTGTGGGAGCAGTCGCTGAGCCCAGCAGCACCAGCGTGGCTCGGGAGAGGCTGGGCCAGCCGGCCCGCGGCGCGCCGGCGGGAGGTGCCGGACTTGCAAAGGCTGCTGCCTTCCAATTGATTAGCCCTCTGTTCCCAGGTAGATTTCCGAAGTGAACTGCTGCGGCAGGGCTGTGCGGAGGCTGCCGGGCGCTGCCTGGGCTTGGAGGCCGAGGGCCGGGCGCTCTCCGAGCAGAGCCCAGCTGGCGGGGGCAGCGGGCTGGGCGCTGCCGGCGGGACGGACACAGCTCCCCGGGAGGGCGCCCACCCCGGCGTCCCGGGGCAGGGGCCCGTGCTGGGCTCCCCCCAGCCACCCGTGGGGCAGCACGGGGGGCTGCCAGCAGCCTGGTGGGGTTGGGGGCAGCTGGCCGGGGAGGTGCTGTGGACTGGAGACTGAGCTCGCCTGGAGCTTGTAGGAAACATGAGGCTGTTTCCAAGGGCCCCGGTCTGCGTGTGGTTTGTGGTTCTCGCGCCGGTGCCAGGGGGGAGTGGGAGCCGTGCTCAGGGAGGAGACGAGGCGGCAGCCCGAGGTAGGGGGGAGGCAGACTGGGAGCTGTGGCCAGGTCTGGGCTGGGGGGGCTGCCGGGGCTGTGCCGCCCTCGGCGCCGTGGGGTCCCTGCGCTGCTGGTGCTCCTGGTGCTGAGCTGGCTGTGGGGTCCGGGGCGAGGCTGGCGGCACGGCCAGGCCCCGCCATGCCTGGGGACAGGCAGCGCCTGGCGCTGGCAGGAGGAAGGGAGGATGTGGTGTGGACTGACGTTAGGCAGCTCTGCAGGCAGCACCGTCTGAGTTAAGCGTGGGAACGGCCTCCCCCACAGTCAGTGCCTTTAGTCCCCTTTCTGTGAGACCTGGCAGCCTGGTCTCTGCTGGGGCTGCCGGTGGCCGAGGGGCAGGTGCAGATTGTCACTGGGGAACCCCTGGTACCCCAGGAGGGGGGCCCAGCCCAGCAGGGAGGGGATGGGGGGGACCACTGCCTGCTGCAGCACCTGCGTGTGCACCCCTGCGCTGCTGAAACGCCCGTGGCTGCCGGGGGAGCCCGGTCCTGCTCCTGTGCACAGGGCCGTGGGGTGCTGCCGTGGGGTGCTGCCGTGGGGCGCTGCGGGCCGTGCCCGGCTGACGCTGAGGAGCTCGGCTGGCTGCTCTGCAGTGCCCCAGGGCTGCGGGAAGGCGCTGTCACAGGGAGCATCCTCCCGGTTGCTGTGGGGACCGCAGGGGCTGCCATGCTCCCCTGGCCCCCCGGGGGCTAATTACGGTGAAGGGGTGCCAGGGGAGAGGGCCGCAGGGAGGGCCGGGTGAGGAGGTGGTGCTGGCTGAGCCCGGTCTCGGTTCCCGCACAGCCCCTGGCACAGCCCGCATCCCAGGGGCTCGGCCACGCACGCCCACGTCCCCGAGAGTGTGGGGCCAGCGCAACCCAGCTCAGCCCCTCGCACCGCCCCGGGGACCCCTAGGGCTGCACATGTGGGGCTGTGCCAGGGCATGAGGGCCCCCAGCCCTGTGCCGGCGCAGCGTGCCACCCCACCGCTGCACCGGCACAGCCCCCAGGGCCAGCCGCTCGCCCCGTGCCCCAGCCTGGCCCCTGGTCCTCGCCCACATCCCCCCACGGGCTGGGGCGCCCAACTGGGGCCGACGGACCCGGCGGCCGGTGCCCCACTGCGGGGTGGGGAAGGCGCCCGCTGTCCCGCACTTGGCCCCCGAGAAGCTCATTAGCGATGCTCCCGCCTCCCCCCCCCCGGTCCCTGCGGAGCGGGCAGCGAGCGCAGGAGGCTCTAATGGCTCCGAGCAGCTCTTGATGGGCCGCGGTGGAGGCGGGGGCAGGAGGGGCTGTGGTTTCTGCCTCCGCCGGAGCCAGAGCTGCCTCGGCCCAGGGTCGGCTGGGAAGATGCTGGGTGGGCTCCTGCTCTGGCTGCTCCTCGCTGCGGCTCTGTGCCCCGGCCTCCTCGGGACAGGTACAGCCCCGCTCCCGCTCCTCCTGCGCCCTGAACCCACCCTCCCCATCCCTGCTGGGGCCTCGTCCCCGGGGGGCTGCCCCCGATGGAGGCTGGGGGGGTCAGTGCTGGGAGGCGGTGGTCCGCACTGGGGGTGGCGACCCGGGCGTGCTGGGGTCGGGGCTGGTCCCACGGCAGCACGTCTGTGGGGTGAGAAGCGCTGTCCCTGGGGGGTGGTGGGGAACGGGGAGGGGATTCCGCACAGGGAGATCCAGGCTGGCCCGCTGGCTCTCCCCCTCCTCTCTGCCGCCATCGTCCTCCTCGCCCATCTGCCCTTGCCGGGGCGACGGGGAGCACTGGGGGTGAAGGCACAGGAGCCATGGCGGGGTGGGGCTGCGCTCAGCCGGCGCTCCCCCCGGGGCTGGAGCCCAGCAGCGACCCACCGAGCTGGCCGAGCCGGGGGCTCCCAGTCCATCCCCGCCGGGGCTGGGCAAGGCTCCGCTCCGCCGCAGCCCGGCACTGGCCGTGCGTCCCCCCCCCGGCCCCTCGCCGACCCGCCTCGACGCGAGGGCCAAGCCCGGTGCCCTGGGGCTCTGCGGCACGCCGTGCCGGGGGCCGAGCCCCGCTCCTCGCCGCAGTCTCGCTGCAGAACCCGCACCTCTGCGAGGGCTACGCGGGCCCCGACGGCCGCTACCACCCCGGCTTCTACTGCCCGCGGCTGACCGACCCGGCCGGCCGCCGCTTCTGCTGCCAGCCCGGCCCCCGCGCCCCCAGGTCCTGCTGCTCCCAGCCCGCCCTGGAGGCTCTCACCGGGGTGAACCTCTCCAGCCTGGCCGGCCCCGGCCTCCTCCGGTGAGCGGGTGGCGGTGGGAGGGGGCGGCCGGGGGTCCCGGCACGGGCTGGCGGCACCCAGAGCTGCACCCGGCGGTGGGGCTGGGGGGGGGGGGGTGGTCACGGCTGCCCCCCCCCTGAGGTGCCCCCGCGCCCCCCGCATCCCCCCAGGAACCCCCTGGCCCTGCCCTTCGTCGGGCTCTACGGGCTGCTCGTCCTCCTGCTCATGGCCGTCGACCTCTGCCACTTCTACCGGACCCGGCGCTGCCGCCTCCTGCCCCGCAGACCCGGGGGGGTCCCGCTGCCGCCGCCCGCCCGGGGGTGCTGCGGGGGGCTGGGGGCTCGGGGGTGCTGAGGGGGGGGCTGGGGGGGTTCGGGGTGCTGGGGGGGGGTGGGGGGGGTGTTGGGGCGGGGGGTGCGGGGGGCTGGGTGCCCGAGGGGGTGGGGCACGCGGGGACACACGCACGAGGTCGCACGTGGCCGGTGCCGGCACCGCCAGGCCGCGAGGCGGCGCCAGAGGCTCCCGCTCGCCCCCCCCCCCCCCCCCCCTTTTTTTTTTTTTTTTTTTTGGTGGTTGTTGTTGCCGGAGGCGCCCCCGTCACGTGACGCGGGCGGTGGCGTCCGTGTTCCCCGGGCGATCGGCGGTGACGTCACGGGCGCGGCGAGAGAGGCGCGATGGAGGCGGCGGTGAGCGGGGGGGGGGGATTCGGTGTGACACCGGGCGGGGTCCCGGCGTGACCGGTCCCGGTGTGACGCGTCCCGGTATCCGGTGTGACACCGGGCGGGGTCCCGGTGTGGCGGGGGGCGGGATCCGGTGTGACCGGTCCCGGTGTGACACGCGGTGGGGTCCCGGTGTGACCGGTCCCGGTGCGAGGGGTCCCGGGATCCGGTGTGACACCGGGCGGGGTCCCGGTGTGACCGGTCCCGGTGCGAGGGGTCCCGGGATCCGGTGTGACACCGGGCGGGGTCCCGGTGTGACCGGTCCCGGTGTGACGGGTCCCGGGATCCGGTGTGACACCGGGCGGGGTCCCGGTGTGACCGGTCCCGGTGTGACCGGTCCCGGTGTGACATGGGGTGTGGTCCCGGCGCGGCGGGTCCCGGGGCCCGTCCTGGGGCAGGCGGCGGCGGCGGGTCCCGGCCCCATCGCCCGCCCTTGCCGTGTCCCACCCGTGTCCGTGGGCAGGTGACGGCGGGGCAGCTGCGGCAGCGGGGCAACGCGCTGTTCCAGGCGGGGGACCCCGCCGCGGCCCTGGCCGCCTACACCGAGGCGCTGAGCCTCGGCGGCACCGGGCCCGAGCGCGCCGTGCTGCACCGCAACCGGGCGGCCTGCTACCTGCGGCTGGTGAGAGCGCGGGGGGCCGGGGGTCTGCGGGCAGGGGCTGGGGGGCCGGGGGTCTGCGGGCAGGGGCTGGGGGGCCGGGGGGCCACGGGCAGGGGCTGGGGGTCTGCGGGCAGAGGGCAAGGGGGTCCCGTAGGTCCCTGGGCAGGGGCTGTGGGTCCGTGGGTCCCTGGGCAGGGGGCTGGGGGTCCCTGGGCAGGGGTCCGTGGGTCCCTGGGCAGGGGGCTGGGGGTCCGTGGGTCCCTGGGCAGGGGCTGTGGGTGCTGTGGGTTTGTGGGCAGGGGGCTGTGGGTCCGTGGGTCCCTGGGCAGGGGGCTGTGGGGACTGTGGGTCCCTGGGCAGGGGCTGTGGGTCCCTGGGCAGGGGGCTGTGGGGACTGTGGGTCCCTGGGCAGGGGGCTGTGGGGACTGTGGGTCCCTGGGCAGGGGGCTGTGGGTCCCATGAGTTCCTGGGCAGGGGCTGTGGGTCCCTGGGCAGGGGGCTGTGGGGACTGTGGGTCCCTGGGCAGGGGGCTGGGGGCCCCATGGGTCCCTGGGCAGGGGGCTGTGGGTCCCATGGGTCCCTGGGCAGGGGCTGGGGGTCCGTGGGTCCCTGGGCAGGGGGCTGTGGGTCCCATGGGTCCCTGGGCAGGGGGCTGGGGGTCCCACGGGTCCCCAGGCAGGGTGCTCTCGGGTGTTTCCTCCACTCGCCTTTTCTCCCGGCCGTGCCCGCTCTCCCGTGCTGCCCCACCTCCCTGTGGGCTGTGGGGGCCGGGGCAGGCCGGTCCCATCCACACCCGCGGCTGTTCCCCAGCGTCTCTGATCTCCCGCTGTGGAGCTGCCTCTGAGACGAGGGGGAACACGAGGAACTTCAGGGGCTCAAGTAGAGCAGGAGCACTTGAAAAGCACTGGGGGCCCTAGGGCTCTCTGGGGGACCCCACGAGGGTTGCGTTCGGGGAAGGACAGGGTGCCCTGGGGGCTGGCTCGCTGTCCTGGGTGATGCTGCTCCCGTCCCCCAACCCCGCGGTCCTTCCCCTGCTCCCCCCTCTCCGCCTGCCGCAGGCTGGGCTGGGCGAGGGCTGCACGGGCAGCGCCTCAGGCGTTTCCCTCTCGCTGGCTCTCCGTCTCCGCAGGAGGACTACGCCAAGGCAGAGGCGGATGCGTCCAAAGGTACCATCAGTGGGGCTGGCAGGGGCCCGGGCTCTGTGCGCTGCCCGTCCGGGCAGACCGCAGCAGTCGGGGGGGCTTTGCGACAGACCCTCCCGCTCGCCCGCAGCCATCGAAGCCGACGGCCGGGACGTGAAGGCGCTGTTCCGCCGGAGCCAGGCGCTGCAGAAGCTGGGCCGCCTGGACCAGGCTGTCGGCGACCTGCAGCGGTGCGTCAGCCTGGAGCCCAAGAACAAGGCCTTCCAGGAGGCCCTGCGCGCCCTGGGCAGCAGCGTGCACGAGAAGGTGAGCGGGGAGGCAGCGGGGAGGGGGTGGGAGCTGCTGTGGGCCCCTGCCTGGTGGGCTCAGGGAGGCGGGGAGGGCTGAGCCGTTCTTTCTGCTCTGTCTCAGATGAAGACCATGTCTTGCACGGACTCAAAGGTGGAGCAGATGTTCCAGATCTTGCTGGATCCTGAAGAAAAGGACGCAGACAAGAAGCAAAAGGTCTGAGCTCCGGGGAGGGGAGGAGCGGTATCTGGAGGTCAGCACTGGTGGGTCTAACGGTGCCGCCCAGGGGAGGTCGGGCCCCCCGCCAGCAGAACGTGCTCCCCAGAGACTGGGGGCGGGAGGTGCCCGGCTGGGGAGATCCCCTGCCCACGCCGGGCTGCGTTCTGGCGGGTGACCCCGACGCCGCTCTCCTTTCCCAGGCTGCGCAGAACCTGATTGTGCTGGCGCGAGAGGAGGCTGGAGCGGAGAAAATCTTCCAAAGCGACGGCGTGCGGCTGCTGGCGCGGCTGCTCGACACGGCCCAGGCTGACCTGATGCTGGCGGCCCTGCGGACGCTGGTGGGGCTGTGCTCTGGGCACCGCTCCCGGGTAGGTCCTGCCGTAGCCCCCGCTCTCCCACGGGACAGGGCCTGGCCCAGGGGAACCGCTGCCGGGCAGCGCAGCGTCGCTGGCCTCGGGCTGCAGCCCTGCCGAGCAGAGGAGCTCCGAGCCGGGCGTGCGCGAGCCTTGTTGCGACAGGGAAGCGCTAAGGCTTCCCCAGGGTCTCCAGCGGACAGTTGTGCCTGTACCCACAGACCACGGCCGTCCTGGCGGAGCTGGAGGCCCCTCGTCTCTCGGCGGTGCTGGGTGTGGAGCACGAGCAGGTTTCCCTGGCTGCCTGCAACCTGCTGCATGTGATGTTCGATTCCCTGAAGGAGGGGCTGCAGAGGGACTTCCGTGGCAAGGAGGAGGCGGTGGTGCTGGGTGGGTGCCCGCCGGGCTGGGAGGAGGTGGGGAGAGCCCCCCCGGGGCGGGGGGGGGGGAGGCACTGAGCTGCAGCGGGTGGATCTCCCACCCCTCACCTTGTCACCGTGCCCGGCTGCAGAGCCGGGGCTCCGGCCCAGGGTTAGTTTGAGGTCGAGGTGGGAGTCCCCGATCGTGGCAGCATCTCCTGCCAGCCCAGGCCCAGGGTGCTCACTGCTGGGCACCGTCTCTTCTGGAAGATTCTTCCAAGGACCTGAAACTGCTGATCAAGCACCTCCTGGAGCTGCTAGCGCTGGAAGGGGCCTCTGCGCACGGGCGCGACAACGCCCTCAACCTGCTCATCAAGGTGGTGCCCAGGAAGTCGCCGAAGGAGACCAACAACAGCCTGAGCCTCTGGGTGATCGACCAGGGTGAGCAGAGCAGCCTGCAGCATCGCGCCCCGCTGCCTCGGGGTGCTGCGCTCCTCCGTTCCCCCTGTGCGCCCCGTTTTTGCTCCTCAGCGCGTGTTTGACCTCCGCATCCTCCTAGGCCTGAAGAAGATCCTGGAGGTGGGCAGTACGGTGTGCGGCACCCCGGGCAGCCTGCCCGTGACGGAGAACAGCCGGATGAGCGCCTCGGTTCTGCTGAGCAAGCTTTACGATGACCTGAAATGCGACGCCGAGAGGGAAAACTTCCACCACTTGTGCGAGGACTACGTGAGGTGAGCCCGGTCAGAGTTGGGGGTTCAGCCCCGTACAGCCTGCGGCCCTCTGGGGAGGTAGCAGCCACCTACCCCCAGACCTTTTGGTGATAAAAGCAGATTGCAAACCCCCCCGGAGAGCAGCTGGGGTTCAGCAGGAGGGGCTGCGTGCGGCTGCAGACGGCGGGTGGGCTCAGCCTTACCCTCCCGGGTGGTTTTCCCCTGCAGGAGCCGGTTCGAGGGGCACGAGCTGGCCGGGAAGCTGCGGGCCATCCAGACGGTGTCGTGCCTGCTGCAGGGCCCCTCGGATGCTGGGAACAGGGTGCTGGAGCTGGAGGGGATCATGGACAGCGTGCTGTCCCTCTGCGCCTCCGTCTGCGAGGCCCACCAGCTGGTAGCGGTGGAGGCGCTGATCCACGCCGCCGACAAGGCCAAACGCGCCTCCTTCATCACCGCCAACGGCGTCAGCCTGCTCAAGGAGATCTACAAGCACAGTGAGAGGGACAGCATCCGCATCCGGGCGCTGGTGGTGAGCGCGGCGGCGGGGGAGGAGCGGCTGCGGGGCCCGCGGGGGTGTCCCCCCCCCCTGCTTTGGGGTGCCCCCTTGCCCCTTCCTGCTCCCACGCTCCGCTCCTGCCTGCAGGGGCTCTGCAAGCTGGGCTCCGCCGGCGGCACCGACTTCAGCATGAAGCAGTTTGCCGAGGGCTCCACGATGAAGCTGGCCAAGCAGTGCCGCAAGTGAGTGCTGCCGGGGCGGGGGGGGGCCGGGCAGCGTGCCCCCCAGCCTGGGCTCACGGGGCTCCCCCCCTCTCCCAGGTGGCTCTGCAATGAGACAATCGACGCGGGCACGCGGCGCTGGGCGGTGGAGGGGCTGGCCTACCTCACCTTCGATGCAGACGTCAAGGAGGAGTTTGTGGAGGACAAGGCGGCGATGCAGGCCATGTTCCAGCTGGCCAAGGTTGTGTGTGCTGAGCGCGGCGCTGGGGGGGGGGCCTGGCTGCTGGGGGAGCGTGCCGGAGTGGGGTGTGGGGCACACACTGTGGGGCTGGGCTGTGTGCGAGGGGCCCCGTGGTGCCGGGGGGGCTCGAGCCCCGGCCTGTCCCCTCCTTCGTGGGGGTGATGGGCGCCCCGTTATCGCTGCAGTCGGAGGACAGGAGCGTGCTCTACGCCGTGGCCTCCACGCTCGTGAACTGCACTAACAGCTACGACCACGAGGAGCCGGACCCCCAGATGCTGGAGCTGGCCAAGTACGCCAAGCAGCACATTCCGGAGCAGCACCCCAAGGTGAGCGGGACGCGGCCGTCCCCAGGAGCCGCCGGGGGCCCTGGCCATGGAGGAGGGCGCATGGGTGGGCAGAGCCCGGCGTCCCGAGCAGGGGCAGGGGGTCCTGAGTGGGGGTAAGGGGTCCTTGGGGCCTTTGGGTTGGAGACCTTGCAGTGGCCGGCAGGCCAGTGCCACCGAGCCGAGCGGTGACCCAGCCTCTGGGACAGGACAAGCCGGACTTCGTGAAGCGCCGGGTGCGGAAGCTGCTGACGGCCGGCGTGGTGTCGGCTCTAGCCTGCATGGTGAAGAGCGAGAACCCGGCGCTCACCAACTCCTGCCGGGAGCTGATCTCCAGGTATGGGGTGGGCAGGGGGGGTGGCAGAGCGGGAGCTGGGCTCCGAGGCGAATGCAAGAACAGGAGGGGGTGTCGGGGGGGGGTCTGGCATAGCCTGGACCCGCTGCGGGTGTCGGGGCGCTGTTGGGACCCGCTGTGGCTCCAGCTGCTCCCGCTTTGTCCCAAGGGTGTTCCTGGCGCTGGTGGCGGAGGCGGAGGACCGGGGCGGTGTGGTTGCGCAGGGAGGAGGCAAGGTGATGAGGGGCTCCGGGGAGGGCTGGGGCCGGGCAGGGGACCGCACTGGCTCCGACGGGACCTGGGGAAGCCGGGGCTGCTGTGAGCAGGCTGCTGCACTGGCTGCCGTGCCTCTGCCTGCAGGCCCTCATCCCCCTGTCCCTGGAGGGCACCGAGGTGGGGCAGACCAAGGCAGCTCAGGCGCTGGCGAAGATCACCATCACCTCCAACCCGGAGATGGCGTTCCCCGGAGAGCGGGTCCGTGTCGCCGCTGCGGGCGGGGGGGAACGGCCGTGGGTGGGCAGCCGGGGCTCGCGTGGGAGCAGCAGTGGGCACAGACTCGCCCCCCCCCTGGTGCCTGCCCAGGCTGCGGCACCCTGTCTGCTCTGGGGAGGTGTCGGGGTGAGGAGGGGCCGCCCGGGTCCCTGGGTGGGGTGTCTGGGACAGGGTGGGCTTCGGCTCCTCCTCGCCCACTGGGAAAGGGCGCGGTGGCCCCGGGGCTAAAGGCCAGAGGGCTGGTGATCCGAGGTGGGATCTGCGCCCCAGGAGCTGCCAGCACGGGTTTGTCCTTCCCTGGGGAGCAGGAGGTGGCAGGACCCCCATGTTCCCCACAAAGGCCCAATGGCCTCAGCCTGACCGCGGGAGCAGCTCTGCCTTCAGGCTGGGCTCAGGGCTCCTTGCACCCGCCCTGCTCCAGGGGGTGCAGAGCCCCTGCCCCTCGCTCGGGGTTAGAGCCCTGCACTGCCGATTCCACAGATCTACGAGGTGGTCCGGCCCCTGGTGAGCCTTCTGCACCTTCAGCGCACGGGCCTGGAGAACTTCGAGGGGCTGATGGCGTTAACCAACCTGGCCGGCATCAGCGAGAGGCTGCGGTAGGGGCGGTGGGGCCGGGCCGGGGGGGACAGGGGGCCTGGCCTGTCCCTGCCTGTCCCAGGGGCGTGCTGCCCTGGGCAGGGGGCACTCACGCCCACCCCCGCCGCAGGCAGAAGATCCTGAAGGAGAAGGCCGTGCCCATGATCGAGGGGTACATGTTTGAGGAGCACGAGCTGATCCGGCTGGCTGCCACCGAGTGCATGTGCAACATGGCCATGAGCAAGGAGGTGAGGGGCTGCGCGGGGCTCCCGGCCCCCCGCACACCCACCCGCACCCCCACCCACCCCCCCCTCCTCGGCAGGTGCAGGAGCTGTTCCTGGCCGAGGGCAGCGACCGCCTGAAGCTGATGGTCCTGTACAGCGGGGAGGAAGACGAGAAGCTGCGGCGGGCAGCCTCGGGGACCCTGGCCATGCTGACCGCCCTGCACCCCCCCATCTGCAAGAGGATCCCCCAGGTGGTGAGTGCCCAGCGAGGGGGTGGGGGGCACCCAGGACCCCCTGGGACAGCACCCGCTGTCCCCTCTTCCCTCCCCCGGTGTCCTGGGGCCGTGTCCCAGTGCTGGCCGCTCCTGCCCTCAGCCTGAGCCACGCTGGGGGGTCGGGGGGCCACCGGTGCCCGGGGGGGGGGGGGGGGGGAGCTGGCCCCCCTCTGCCTGGGGGGCACTCGCTGAGGGCAGCCCCCCTGCTCCCGCAGACGGTGCACTGGCTGGAGATCCTGCAGGCCCTGCTGCTGAGCCCCAGCGCCGAGCTGCAGCACCGCGGGGCCGTGGTGGTGATGAACATGATGGCGGCCGAGCGGGAGGTGGCGGAGCAGCTGGTGGCCAGCGAGATGCTGGAGATCCTCTCGGTGCTGGCCAGGGACGCCGCCGCCGCCGAGCCGCGCGTGGCCCAGGCGGCCAAGGAGAGCCTGGCCCGGGCCGTGGCTTACGGCCTCATCCAGCCCAACCCCAGCCAGGCGTGAGGCCGCGCCGCGCTTGCCCGCTGCTCCCCGTCGGTTGCCCCATCCGGGCTGCCGGTGGCCCGCGGGAGCTGCCCCGGGGCTCGGTGGCTCGGGGGTGGGGGGGGGGGGGGGGGCTCGCCGCTGCTTCTGCCACCGTCTGCCTTAACCGGGACCCTGCGCGGCGGCGGGTCCGCCCGGTGACACCGCACTAAAGCTGCTCTTGGACCACGGCCCGGCCTCTGTCCGTCCGTCCGTCCGTCCGTCCGTCGGTCGCGCCGCCCCCCCCCCGGCCCCGCCCCCCCGGCCCCGCCCCGTCATGGCGGCTCCGCGCCGCGCGTGGATCGTCTTCGGCTTCAGCCCCGAGGAGGCGGCGGGGGAACCGGGGCCGGGCCCGGGGCCGCGGCGGCTGGAACCGGGCGCCGGGGGGATCCGCCGCGTCTGGCCCGCCTGGAGCTACGTGGTGCTGGAGACCGGTGAGCGCCCGCCGGCCCCGGGGCCGCGGTCCCCGCTCTGTCCTGGGGGCTCCCCCATCCCCTGAGACCGGGCCCCCGGGATGGAGCACCCACCCCCCCACCCCTTACCCCTTATGGCGCCGGTCCCCCCGGGATGTCCCCGTCCCTCTGCCCCCCGATCCCCCCGGGATGTCCCCGTGACCCCCACCGCCGGTCCCCCCGGGATGTCCCGGTCCCTCTGCCCCCCGATCCCCCCGGGATGTCCCCGTGACCCCCAATGCCGGTCCCCCCGGGATGTCCCGGTCCCTCTGCCCCCCGATCCCCCCGGGATGTCCCCGTGACCCCCAATGCCGGTCCCCCCGGGATGTCCCCGTCCCTCTGCCCCCCCCGCCCGATCCCCCCGGGATGTCCCCGTGGCCCCCAGAGCTGGTTCTTCCGGGATGTCCACGTCCCTCCGGTCCCCCCGGGTTGCCCCCGTCCCCCCGGGCTGATGCCCCCTCCCCGGCTGTCGGTCCCGGTACGGCAGGCTCGGGGCTGGAGGTTCGGAGCGCGGGGCTGCGGCGGCGGCTGCCGGGCTGGGCCGAGGCGCTGCCCTCGGAGACGCACCTGGTGCTGGGGGGCCCGGGGGGGGCCCGGGCCTGGCCGCGGGCTGCGGCACTGCGGGGCGACCTGCGGGACCCCCCCGCCTGGAGCCGGGAGCTGCCGCCGGGGCCCCCCCGCCCGCTGCCGCTGCTGCCCGGGGGCTTCGCCCGCCCGCGGCCGCCCTTCTTCACCCCGCTGCCCGGGGGGCTGCACGCCCGGCAGCTGGTCCTGGGCCAGGAGCACGCCCTGGTGCTGGGTGCCCACGGGGAGCTCTACGCGTGGGGCGGCGGGAGGTGAGTGTGGGGCGGGGGGGGTGGGGGGGAGGGATGCAGACATAGGGTGCAGCCACCCTGCGGAAAGGGTGCGAGTGGCAGCACATGGGGAGGTGGTGTGGGGTGTGGGAAGGGGGGGCGGTGGTGGGTTTGCAGGTTGGGATCGAGGCAGGAGCGTGTGGGATCAAGGACACGAGGGGAAGGGGGGGGGTGATGCAGCAGTGGATGCTGAATGTGCTGGGGGGGGATGCGGGGAGAGTGATGGGGGTGCAGAGAGGGACGGGTGGGGATGCAGGTGAAGATAGGATGTTGGGGTGGGGGGGTCACCTCCGGGTCTGAGCCCCCCGTTAGCTTGCAGGCCTAAGGCAAACCGGTCCAGGTTTCTGTAGTGTTGATTGATTAGTCAACATGGCAAAACAATCTAATAAAGTGATTCCATGATCAGTAAACTAACTGACTGGTGAACACACCGCTCATTACTTCATGACCCTGTTATTCTTTGTGCTGTTGCACCTAATTATTGAGCTACAATTGATAACTCTCAAGTCATTTTGATTGCCTACAGCCTTTCCCTGCTCGGAGCCCCTTTCCCGGCTGCGGCAATCCTGTCCCTGCCTGTTGGCTCTGAGCTGCTGCTCCGGGCCTGTGGCCGTGCTCGGGGGGTGGGAAACTGGGAACCAGCCCCACGGGGTGCATCTCTTCGCCTCGGTCTTCTGCAGCTATCCCCGTGAAAGAAAGTGCAAAGCCCTCCCTCTCTTGTTGTATTACCACAGCTTTTGGTGTCCTGTTCTGACCCTTTGATGAGCCCCAGGACTCATCTGCTGCACGCAGCTGAGCTCTTTATTTTACCCTCACAGCCCCTTCCACCTCTCTGCTTTTGCCACAGCTTTGGCAATTAAGGCCACTGGTGTGTTTATATTCCCCACAGCGTGCGGGTCTGGCTCCTGCCCCACATGGGCCTGCTCGCCTTTCTGTGCCGTTGCGAAATGCTCATCCTGGTGGGTGGTGCTGCCCCCGCCGCCACGAGCCCCAGCTTGTCCCCTCGTGGGATCCCCTGCTTTTTGCTCTCAGGCTTGGGGCCAGCCTGATGGCCCCGACGCTGGGCTGTTGATTGCTGGCTCGGCGCTCGGTGGCCCAGATAAGCGCAGCAATCAGTCGGCTGATCAGTGGCCTCTAACGCATGAGCACTTCTCTCGTGCCGCCGGCACGGTGACGCAGACTCCCGTCTGCTGATGGGTCACAGCCCTGTGTGCTGCAACCTGCCCCGGGCCACTGAGACCCCGCCAGCCTCCCACGCGGCCTGGCACCAGGGTGATGGGCACCCACCCCCCCCCCCAGGCTGGGCTCTGTGCCCCCGCTGCACCCCCTGGCACTGGGGGGCCGGGTTGGCAGCGGCAGCACGGGCAGCGGCAGGCAGGAGCGGCTCAGTCAGGACCGTGGGCTCACAGGGGGGCATGAGGGCCGGAGGGCAGCGGGGGTGTGGGAGGCGGCTGTCTGTCTGTCCGTCCGTCTGTCTCCCCGCAGGCACGGGCAGCTCGGCCACGGGACCCTGGAGTCGGAGGCGCAGCCGCGGCTGGTGGAGGCGCTGGCCGGCGTGCCGATGCGGGCGGTGGCGGCCGGCGGGTGGCACTCGGCCAGCGTTAGCGGTGAGGGCCCGGCCCCCGCGCCGCGGTCACCCCGGGGCGCCCGGCCCTGGGTGGCGCGCGGTCGGTGCAGGAGCACCCAGTCGCTGCCGCCGCCGGGGTCAGGGCCGAGCTCTGCGCTGGACCCACCCCTGATGCGCTCCCCCCCCCCCCCCCCAACAGAGGCCGGAGACCTTTACGTGTGGGGCTGGAACGAGTCTGGCCAACTGGCTCTGCCCTCCAAGGCGCTGGCGGAAGAGCGGGCGCAGGACGCGGGCGCAGGTGCGGGGGCTGCTGGTGGGCTCGGGGGCCCTGGGTGGGTGGCGCTGGGTCCCTGCGGGGGACCGGTGCGGGTCAGGGCCCCGGCGCTGAGGGCCGGCTCGTCCCCAGGGGACGCGGAGGTGACGTCTGGCCAGGAGCAGCCCGAGGACGTCGCCTTCATTTCCATCCAGGCGTTCCCGGCGTTGCTGGATCTGCCGCAGGACCCGGAGGTCGGCAGGGTCAGCTGCGGGTCCCGGCACACGGCCGTCGTCACGCGTGAGTGCCCGGCTCTCGCCGGGGGGGCGGCGGGCAGCCCCGGCTGTGGGTGCTGCCCGGGACCGGGGGGGCGGGGGGGGGGCAGGCGCCTGAGGCTGATGGGTGCTGCCCCTTTGCAGGAGGCGGCGAGCTCTACACCTGGGGCTGGGGTAAGTGCTGCCTGCGCTCTGTGCCGCTGCAACACCCCCCTCCGAGCCAGCTTTCCTTTTCTGCTCCCTTCCCCTCTGCTGCTCCTTGGAGAATGAGTTATTTTATCACTGTGAAGGCTCAGAGCAGACCACAGTGGGGGCTGTGTGCTGGGGGGGGTGTGTGTGTGTACACTCAGCTTTCCTCCCTCTCCCCCAAACACCTGGGGGGGGCTACGGCCCTGCAAGGGCAGAATCCCCCAGGGCCACATCGTGGCACAACTGTGGTGGCTGCAGGTAAATACGGGCAGCTGGGACACGGGGACAACGCCAGCTCCGACCGCCCACGCCGCGTTGAGTACCTGGGGGCCGAGGGGCTGCGGGCAGAGGAGGTGGTGTGCGGGCCCTGGACCACCTACATCTGTGTGCTGGAGCCCTGAGAGCCCCCCCGCCCCCCGCCAGGTCAGGAGGATGCTCCTGGAGCCCAGTGCCAGCCCCAGGATCAGGCTGGGCTCAGGCCCCCAGAGCCTGGCCCTGGGCTGGTGCCTGACGCCGCGGCCGCACACACGCTAAAGACAAGCCCGGGGAAGGCCAAACACATTTATTACATACATCTGCTTTTCTATAAGGGCTGCAGTGGTGCTTGGTGCTGTGTACAAAGGACGGGCCCAGCTTCCCCCAGCCCCTCTGGAGCCAGTTGTGGCTTAAAGCCCTGCGTGACCTCACAGACACACAAACAGCAGCAGCTATATACACAGATACGTATTATTCCCATGAACAGTATATACAGAGTTACAGAGCGAGGAGACAGAACCTGGAGAATAAATAACAGCAAGTGGGGGACTGTAGTGATAACAAGGTGCAAGTTAGCCATGATCAGGGACAGGCATGCAGACAGAGCTTCGTTAACAAAGGTGCAACCAGGCCCCTCCTGCCCAGGGCTGTGTCGGACCACCAAAGTGCTGGGCTCGCTGTCCTCGGCCGGAGCGAAGGGCGAGGGAGGGCAGCGCTGGACGGTGGGGAGCAGGTCCTGGGGGTAGGACAAGTCGCCCCCCCTCCCAAGGGCTGGAGAGAAGCCTTGTCCCAGCACAGCTCCCTTCCTCGCTAGTAACACGTGCCTGCTCTGCCCCACGAGCAGCAGGGCACAAGGTGTAGAGCCAGGAGGATGCCTGGTCAGGTTTGGTGCCTGCTGCTCCCTCCCGGGGCCCCCCAGCCCATCAGGGAGAGACAGGACCCTCGGGCACCGCACGCGGAGTGAGCCCAGGACTCTGGGGTCAAGCAGAGCCTGCTACAGGCACCTCCCCTAAAGCAAGCCCCCACTAAAACCAGCCTGCTGTGATGGTGAGGAAGGAAGATGCGGGTAGACAACAGCTTCAAAAATGGAGGGGAAAAGAGCCTGTAAGGAAAGGCACCGAAGCCAGGTCTGGGGTGGGTCCTGCCTGTCCCACAGCATGCTCAGCAAGGCAGAGCCCCTGTGAGCGAGCACCAACGCCCACCCCAGCCAGCTGGGCTGCGGCAGGAGCCAGCACCCACCACTGCGCTACCCTAACGCGACCGTGTACTCAAATCTTTAATCACAAACATTTGCAAGAATTCCCTAAATAAAAGCAAATTTTTAAAAGTGCCCCTTTCACACCCTACCCTGTCAGGCAGGGCACCCCACCCCCCAGAGCACCAGCCTGGCCCGGGACCCAGGTAAAAGTTAATCCCAGAGCAAGGGAGGCCTGGGGGGGCGGGGGGAGCTGCGTAACACTGCCTGAGCAGTGACTCACTACAACTGGGAGCAGCTGGAGCCTGGCAGGCAGCTCCTCAGCAGAAGGCGTGGGTGGTGGTGGAGTTCAGGATGCGGGAGCTACTGTCAGATCTGGAAGCCTTTGAAAGTTCGCGCTGTGGAAACAAGAAGCAGGAGATGAGGAGGAGATGACAGAGGGGACAGAGTGTTGCTTCATGGCTTTGTGGGGAAGCAGGAACAGCTCCAGGACAGTGAGGAGCACAGGCCAGGCTGCTCCCGCTTGGGTGTTTGGGCTCCCCAACCCCTCTCAGAGCCCATCAGCCTCCCAGAAGCCCCCCAGAGCTCCCAGGCTGGGACCCACATCCCTCCCTCCTGCAGCGGTCCGTCTGTCCTGGGAAGCACCCTGCCAGAGCAGCAGAAAGCTGCCCCTCAGCGAAGGGAAGCAGGATGGGGACAGTCGTACCAGGCTGCTGGGGGAAGGGAACACCAAGCAGGAATCTGCCTCCATCACAAACCAGCACCATCCTCGCCCCGAGGCACAGCCCCAGGGGCACACAGGGCACCCCGGCTTAGCTGCCAGAAGAGATGCTCATGGCTGCCCAGTGTCAGAGGATGTTAAAAACTTGAGCTCAGCACACTCAAAGGGAAGGGCAGAGGCTTCCAAGGGACCTCGGGCCAGCCAGAGAGAGCAAAGCCCCATCCAGCAGCAGAGAGCAGCTTCTTCAGCAGCTGGGGCAGCTCCCAGCCTCTGCTCGCCCAGCGACCAGTGGAAAAAGGTTGGACAGACACCAGGGGGGACAGCAAGCAGCAACCTGCGTGAGCCGGGGCCTGAGGAATCCACGCAGGCAGCAGGGAAGGGCTTCCCCAGCCCGGGGTGGCGGGGAGGAGACCCTCCCTCCCTCCCTCCCCTCTCCCCCTGACCCAGTTAGGGCAGCAACCGAGCGCTGCTGCTGCCCAGGGCGCGACGCTGCAGCCCCGTGGGGAGGCTGGGGAGCATCACCACCCCCAGAACACACTGCAACAAGCGACTTGGACCTCAGGGGGATGGGGGGGAAGACTTTGCTCAAGCAGCTGAGACAGACCCACCTTGGGAGAGCGGCTGCGGGGCTGTTCTGGGGGCCCTGGGCCACGTACAGCTTTTTGCCCCTGCCCAGGGCTGGGAGGTGCCCCCAACACCAGCGTTTGTTCCCCCCTGGGCTGCTCGGGGTCTTTGTACAACGGGAGCAGTGCTTGGCCTCAGCCACTAAACCTCAATTTTTTAAGTTCTTGACCCAGAGCCAACACAGCTGCTGCCCCAGGCACTGGCAGGACCAGCCGCTCTGCGTGGGGACAGCAGGGGGGGCTGTGCAGAGCTGCAGCCCCGTGGGGGGGCTCTGGGAGGCGGGGAGCACCCCCCCTGTGCTGCCTAGTGAGGGGAGGTGGGTTTAGAAGAGGTGAATTACCGCAAACTCAGAATAGGTGCTGGCAACAGAATTAACGCTGTGGTTACGCTGGGCAGGGGCTCTGGGGGTGCACCCACCGCTCAGGGTGGTTCCGTGCAGCTGGGACATGTTCTCCTTGTTCTGCTCCCTGTGTCCGGGACGGGGGGGCTTCACAGCTGGGCGGCTGGGGGTCCGAGCCTGGCCAAGCTACAGGAAGAAACGACGGTTAGACGGGACACAGGAATCGAGGGGATCTGGGGGAGCTGCGCTAGCTTCACTGTCACTCTGCGGTGCCAGGGGGGTCTCAAGCTCCAGGAGCCCTCCAGGGTCTAAGGCCCAGTTCTGACCCCAGAAACATACAGCACCACACCCGCCTTTTGTAGTCCCCCAGGCCACAGGCTCAGCTCAGAGGAAGAGAGGCACACTAGAAATTTAAGCTGGAGGAAGATTTCCTGAATGCTGCTGCTGCCCTCCTCCCTCAGGGTCCCAGAAATACCCTGCCAGGATCGCGGCAGCCCAACTCAGCAGGCTACGGCCAAAGAGGGGCTCTTGCACCCCGGGAGCTTGGCAGGGGAGGCAGTGAAGCAGAGTGCCAGCTCGCCCTGCTCCTCCCCAGCCCACCCTGCTGCGCAGGGGCTCCCTGGGAAGCTCCTCACCTTCCCTCCGGAAGGTGGCAACCGAGACGTTGGCGAGTGGTAGATGGTTCCCCCAAAAGCTGAACGAACGGTGCTGTTGGGAGTGGCGCTGGAGATGGAAGTGCCATTGAGCTGAGGGGAAAAGCAGAGCACACGTCACACGGGGAGGAAGCCAGCGGCTGCACCACGCTGGGGAAACCGGGGTGGATGTCTTGGCAGAGCTTTTTACCTCCAGAGCACCACGGTACAACAGGCTGCTCGTCCCCAGGGAGAACGGAGCTGCCCGTGGCCTGGATCCTCTCCCTGCTCCCCTTACGCTGCCACAGCACCCCGAACCCTCCCCGCGCCCCTGCGTGGGAGGGGGGGGCCCAGCCCAAGACCAGGCACGGCTCTAGCCCAGCGCTCAGCTGATCCCAGACAGGCACGTCCACACTGCTTTGCACACAGTTTACCTTCCTTACTTTGCCAGGAGTGTGGAGGCCGAGCACCCGACGCTTGATGGGTGTCCGCGGGGTGCTTCCGTACATCATCTCTGTCTCAGTCTGGCGGCTTTTCTTCAGGTGCTGTGCGAGAGATCTGCACTTACAAACCCGAGCAGGGGAGCGGGGAAGCACCTGCGGTGCCCTGCCGACGGCGTGGCAGGGCCAGGCAGTGTCCAATTCAACAGATTTGGAGGTATCCAGAGCCAAGCTGCAGTTCTGGCACAGCTGGGGCCAGTGAAGGGGCTGAACAGAGGCACTGGCAGCAGCGGACACCAGTCCCACCCTCAGAGAAAAGTGACTGCGTGCAGAGCCGCTTCCAGGCGGAGAGTGAGAAGGCAGAGCCCCAGCAGCGCTGGGGGGGCAGCTGAGGCAGATCCCCCACCCCTTCCAGGCCAGGAGGCAGCACGCTCAGCTTCGCACTCACCCGCTCCTGTTTCTCCTTCTCCTTCTCCAGGCGGTACAGCTGCCACTGCTCCGTCACATACTCCATGAACTGCTGGCCCTTCACCAGGAAAGACCCCTCGCACTCCTCCTCCCAGGCCTGGACCCTGCTCTCCAGCTCCTCCTGCAGCTGCGGACACAAGGGCAGTGCAGAGAGGCTGCCCTCCTGAACAGCAGCATCTCTGCGCCCGGAGACATCCCGCGCCGGCCCTAAGTGCCGCGCTTCTCCTCGGTCAGCGCTGTGCAAGCCTACCTGGAACTAACGCTTCATCTCCAGGGCTGAACCTACCTTGGAAAGCATCTTCTGCAGCTTTGCTCGCTGCTTCTCTTCTTTCAGCAGATTCCCCCCACGGTTGGTGAAGCGACTGGGGTCAGTTGCTTTCCTCTAGTACAGAAGGGAGGTCAGGAGAGAAGCAAACAACCGCTCGCCCCGGATACAGACGCTGGAGGAAGCTATCCCTGCTGCACAGCCCCCATCACAAACCATACCGGCGCCCTAGATACAGCACCCCAGCCCCTCACCAACCCGCTGTGGTTTCCTAGAGCCTCCCCCGTCCTTCCCAACAGCACTTTGCTCATGGGTGCTGCCCACAGACCTAGCGCTGCGCCAGGCAGAGCACGTTCCTGCCCAGACAATACCTCCAGCTCCAGGAACAGCTTCCAATTCTTCTCCCACTTCTGGACAGCCTCAAACAGATCTTTGTGCGTTTCATAGTAGTTCTTCATCTTCACCACCTCAGCATCGTGGAGCTCAAGCAGGGTCTCTGTGTAGTCGTCTAGAGAGGATACAGCAGCACATTCAGGAGGCAGCCGGGATCCCCATGCTGCTGGGAGCCAAGGGCAGCCCGGCAGCCTGCAGCCCCCACAGGGCAGTCAGGGAGCAGCAAGAGCTAGCACCCACCATCATAATAGGGGCTGAAGCCTTCCCTCTGCTTCTGACTGTAGAAGCATTTGTCCCAGTACTCAGCCAGCTCTGCCCGGGTTGCCTGAATCACCGATTTCATGTTCTGCAGCTTCATCTCCTCCAGACGGTCCACTTCCAACTGCAGCTGCCAACGAGATCAGAGCACAGACTCAGAGCAGGCAGCGTGAGAAGATGTGCAGAACAGGGTTTATCTTCTGCATAAGCCGCTTTCTAAGATGGGGCAGTTGGTAGCCCCAATTCCCAGCTCCTCCACCCACAAGGGCAGGATTTGGCCTGCTCACCTCACACCTGACTGCTAGAAGCAGCAACTCCGCTCTGGCAGAGCCAAGAGGAGTGTGAAACCCAGAGCTGCCGCTCCCAGCCCTCCCCCTCCACAGGCACAGCACGGTCCTTACAGCTTTCCTGGTTTTGGCTTTGGACCCAGCCAGATGCACTGCAGAAGACTCCCTCTCCTCCGCAGGAAGTTGCAGCCTTTCCCAAAGCGCAACAATTCTGGAGCGCAGCTCTGTGCACACAGCTTCGTTCAGGGATCGCTGGGCTTCCAGCTGCCAGAGGGAGAGCACAGGGTCAGCACCAGCGCAGCCTGGCCCCAAAGGCCATTTGCTCTACTGCACCAACCAGGGCCACTCTCTCATCTTCTGAGATCTCCTTGCAAAAGCTCCCAAAAGGATGTTCTAACACACCGAGCGGTCGCTCTGCGTTGTGGTGCCAACTGCTGTCGGGACCCCATCGACAGCAAGCAGCGCTGCCTCGCTATGCCCAACATACCTGCTGCATCAGATTCTGGAGGGCAGCAATGTTGTCCGTGGACAAACAGAAAGCTTCCTCATCCTCGCACACCACGTCCCGCTCAAAGCTTGTGTCCGGAGTGTGGTCCAGCTCCTCCATGAGGAGGATGATTTTCCGCTTGCTGCTGACAAACTCCTCCCGCCTTTGCTCCTGGAAGCGACAAGCAGCATTAAAAGCAGCGAGCACCCCACATGCCACCCTCGGCGAGACCCTCACCCCCTCTCTGCTTACCTTCTCGATGGTCAGGGAGGCCAAGTGGCGCCTGTAACGGTCCAGGTCCTCCAGGCTGGGCACGGCATTGCTGTCGATGCAGAACGGGGTTGTGCAGAGGATGTCGCACAAGTCTCGGTCTTGTTCTTGCAGGGTTTTCAGCTCCTGCTTCCTATCCCTTTTCTGCTTTAACATCACTTCCACACGGGTCCGCAAATTCTTCTCCATCTGTAGAATGGTGCTTTCTTCCTCTGCCTAGAGGAGTCCAGAAATCAGCTCTCTTCTCCACAACTCCCACAGACCTGACTCACGCATTTAAGCTTCTTAAATGATGACCTAGGACACGAGCCCTAGTTCTGAGCAGGATGTTCCCCAGGAAGGTGCAAACACAGCAGCAACGTACAAAACGGGATGCTACAACCCACCCGGCCTCCTCGCAACCATCACCCAACCTGCGGGGAGCCACAAAGCCTTTGGCCCTACCAGAGTAGGAAAAGTGGTTTTGAACAGGCATTTGCATCGCGAGCTCCGGTCTCACGAGCCACCCGGGCAGCAGAAGACCATTGCCGACGGGATCTTAGGAGCGAAAAGCAACGCCTTACCTCCAAGGGGTCCAGCTGGAGCTCCCTGCAGAGGGTGTCAAGCTCCTTCCGACACAGGGCAATGCTCTTCAGGAGCCGCTCCTTCAGGCTCTCCTCCTCCGCAACCATCATGTCCAGGAGACTCTGCGGCACAGGAGTGGGTAGGGACAGGCTGCGGGGACCCCCCCCCCCCGCAGGACCACGGCCGGCCCCGCGGGAGCTCTGGGCGAGCCCAGGCCGAGCCGCGACCCCCCCCCCCCCCCCACACACACACCTTGATGTGCTTCTTGACCACGTCGGTGCGCTCCAGGCGCTGCTCCTCGGGGATGCCGATCTCCTCCCAGATGTCCCGCAGTGCCGCCATGGCTCGGTTCAGGCACGACACGGCCTCAGCCGCCAGCACCTCGCTGAGGGCACCGGGGCCCACCGGCCACCGTCATCAGGGGCGGCAGCGGACGGGGCCGCCGCCCCGGTGCCCCGCGTCCCGTGTCCCCCCCCCCCGCGTCCCGTGTCCCCCCGTCACCTCCCCCCCCGTGTCCCGGTGCCCCCCGTCACCTCCCCCCCCGTGTCCCGGTGCCCCCCGTCCCCCCCGTGTCCCGGTGTCCCCCGTCCCCCCGCACCTTTTCCTCATGGCGGCCGCTCCGCTCTGCGGCCCCCCGCTCCCTCCGCCAATTCAAACTCTCCTCCCGGGCGCGCCCATTGGCTGCCAGGAGCGGCCGCGTCACCGCCAGCCCCGCCCACAACGGCCGCTCGGGCCGCGGCCGACACGTCAATCTTCGCGACCCACCCGGCGCTGCCGCGCCCGGCCCCGCCCCAAGCCGCCCGACAGCCAATAGCGGCAAAAAAAAAATACCTCACGGCGCGTCTGACCAATCACCGGCGCCGCCGGGGCCGTTGGATCACGGGAAACGGCGCCGGGCGGTTCCGGAGCGCCAGTGCGCATGCGCCGCGGGGCGCTCTGCTACCCTCTACCGTCTCCGTTCCCCCCGGATTTCCGCCCCCCCCCCCCCCCCAAAGCCGGAGCCGGTTCCGTTCCAGGACTGATGTTTATTGGCACGGGGGCGCGGAGGGGCTCCCCTCCCCGGCCGGGCCTCAGGCCTTGGCCTCGATCATGGCCTCCATCAGGCGGGCGCTGCTGGTGATGGCCGTGGTCAGGAAGATGAACTTGTACCCTGGGGGAGAGGCCCCGCCAGCGTCCCGCCAGCCCGGGGGGCTGCGGCCGCTCCCCAACAGCCCCACACGGGTCTCCAGGCGGCTTCATGCACCCCTCCGGCAGGCAGAGGGGCCCCCCGCCACCCCCCCCCCAGCTCCTACCTCTCTCCTTCCCCAGAAACCGAAGGGCGGCGATTTCGGAGAAGGTGCAGCCCCCCAGGAAGACAGCCAGGACGATGCGCTGGGACTCCCAGGCCGGGTTGTCCTCCACGGTGCTGTCTGGACAGGGCACAGCGCTGTGGGACCCCCCAACCCCGCCCTGCCCCGGACCCCCCACCAAGCCCGGTGCTGGCGCTACCTGAGACAGAAAACTCGTTGCCGTTGAGCAGCCGCACGACCTCCTCCAGGCCCAGCCAGCCCCGCCGCTCCAGCACCTGGGGGCAGGGGGTCAGGCTCAGCAGACCAACGCCGACAGCCCCGGGGTGCAGGGACCCCCGCTGGACCCCCTGGTAGGAGGCTGGGGGGGACACACACGGTGCCCCCCCCCAGCAGCAGGCAGGCTCACCTGCTCAATGATCTTGCAGCTCAGGGGGATGTAGGCCCCGCTAAACACGTAAGCCATGTCCCGAGGCATTTTCAGGTCGTACTCTCCATCCACCCGAGGGATCTGCAGGGATGTGCAATACTTGGGGTACGGGACCAGCCTGCTTGGGGCTTCACCCACCCCCCGAGGTGCCAGTGGGGCAAGGAGGGACACATGCCCAGAGCAAGCCTCTGCCACCCCGCGACCAAGCACACAACCTGGGCAAGCTGTGCAGCGGAGCGCCAGGGATGGAAACGTCACCTCGCCACCGCCCCAGGACCCTTCCACCTCCTCAGGACAGAGACCACAGAGCTGCACCCCCCCCGGCGCCAGGCCCACCACCACACCAGTGACCCCCAGTCTCAGGGAGAAGCCCCTCTGCTGCCTCGAGCGGCAGCAGTGACCCTGGGGGTGCCGAGCCTGGAAAGCTGGGCGCAGCCATGTGGGCAGCCCCAGGAGGACATACCAACCCCAGCTTCTTGCTTATGGCTCGAAAATTGCTCTTCCTGGCCAAAGAATTAAATGCATCTGTGATCTTTCCTGGAAAAGAAGACAAGGAGGAACGGCTCAGGGCCTCCAGGTTAACCACAGCCCTGCCAGCTGCAGAGCCCACCGCCCTGTCGGCAGCACCATCTCTGCCTTCGTGCTCCGTGCCAGCAGCGCCCGCCTTCGCCACACGCTTTCTGAAGCGGCAGCTCCCGACGGGGCAGGTCTCTGCCCCAGGGCTCCCCCCAGCCTGGGGACCCGTGGGGCAGAGGGCTGGCTCTCACCCGCAGCGCGGTCCGTCACCAACTTGCTGACTTTGCTCTCCACAGCAGTCAGGGTCTCTCCAGCTGACTGCTCGGTCAGCAGCCCGATGCGCTTGAGGTTGTGGAAGGTCAGGAGGTGCTCCGGCCCGTAGCTCTGGGGAAGGGGCAGCCAGATCAGCGCCGAGCCCCGGCTGCGAGTGCGGGAGGACAGCAGGGTGCCAGCTCTGTGGGAGGCTGCTCGGAGCAGCCCCACAGGCAAAGGGCAGGGGCAGGCTGAGCTCGGGGCTCATGCGGAGCCGTGGAGGCTGGGGCCGTGCTGCAGAGACAGCCCGAGCGTCCCGGCGAGCAGCGGGCAGGGAGGCGAAGCCCCGTCCGACCCAACGCTTGCTCTGCGGTGAGTCCCCGGACACGCTCACCTGCAGGTACTGGGTTTTCAGGGAGCGGTAGTCTTTGGGGATGAGACCTGTGGGGAGCACCGGGCTGAGCTCTGCGGCACGGCCGGAGGGCCCCAGTGCTGCCCCCCTGCCCTGCGCCTCACCGTTCTCTGTGATGGAGAGGAGGCACATCAGGCGCAGGCTCTCGATGGGGGACACCTGCAGGGACGCGGGTGGTGAGCTGCCCGCAGCCCCCCCAGCCCAGCCCCCCGGCCCGGCATGGGCTCACCTGACGGTCAATGTGCTCCTCTATGAAGCTGGTGCTCTCACGGATGTCGAAGCCTTCCAGCAGAGCTACGGTGGGGATGAGGCAGCGTCACTTTCCCACCCCCTGGGCTCTCACCAGCTAAAGGAGCTGGACTCTGGGCTCGGCCATCCCCAGGGAACAGGGCAGGATTGTGATGCTGGACCTCCCACCCCTCCACAGCCCTCCGGGGACGTGGCTGGACCCTATTTAGGACCTCAAGGCCCTCCCCAGTACAAATGATGTGGAAGCACTGCGGTCACGCCGGGGGCACCCGGGTGTGAGGTTGCGCAGGCCTGGGGCATGTCGGTTGGAGCAGAGGATGGGGGAAGCAACAGATGTGGGACCAGGAGCAGCACTCACAGTGTTCGGCCTTGATCATCTCCTGGAAGTCCTGCTTGGTTTTCTTTTTCATGATGGACTCGCAGGCACCAATATCTGCACCCCCAAGAGAGGCGGCCACACTGGAGGCCTAACAAGCTCTGCACATCGCTTGTCACCCCGGCCCCACTACAGACTCTTGCACGTATGAACGGCCTCTGTTACCCTGCCCACTGCTCAGACCGTCTGCCCTCCCGGCGACTGGCAGGGGTCTCCAGCCCCCGCCGCTTTCCCCGGCAGCTCAGGCAGCCGAGGGCCTCTCCCCCCGTGCCCTCCCAGCCCCTGCTCCTACGCAGGCTCAGCAGGCGATGCTCCTGCTTCAGTCCCTTCAGTTCCTGGGAGACAAAGTTCTTCATCTGCTTGATGTCCATGCCACGGCGCCGCTGTGGAAAACAGCACGGGGTGGGTAGGGGGGTGACCCGGCTGCGGAGGGGCGGCACCGCGGGCATCCCGCGGCGATACCCACGTCGTACTGCGCCTGCAGGTTACGCGACTTCTGGCTCAGGAAGCCGAACACGCTGGAGAAGTGCTCGTTCCGAATCTGGCTGAACACCTGCGGAGAGCACCGCAGCTGTCGGCGCTGGGCACGCGCCCCACTCTCCCCCGGGCCGGGATGGGACCCGCCCAGCCAACAGCACCGCAGCACCCAGAGCCGACGCCTGAACCGCGGCAAGACGAGGTGCTATCCCCACAGTCCCCAAAATACCGACTGGCCGGCGTGACACACCCCCGCACACAGGGGCTCTGCTGACCACAGAAGCCGACCTGCGCCTGCAGACCACGTTTCTCTGTGCCCCGACTCATCCCAACCTGTGCTCCGAGGCCCAGCAGCACCCGGCTGCTCCCTGCTCAGGCTTAGGGGAGGAACTGCCCCTCTCAGCCTCCTCCCGGGCACGCGGCATGGCGGGACCCGCTTCCCCCGCGGACTCACCTTGTCCTGGGCATTGAGCAGCACCTTAATGCTCTTGTCAGAAGAGGTGACGTCTGGCCCAAAATCCACGCTCCCTGCAGAGAAGGATGAAGAGCCGCTTTGCCCTAGCACTAGCGGCATCCCCAGACACATCAGCCCTGCTGCAAAAAGCAGCAGAGACAGGGGACGCCCACCCAGCCGCTCGGTCAGACCAAGGAGCCCCCAGCACTGGGACCATCCCCGTGGGGAACAGCCTCGGCCACAGCACACAGGCCCTGGGTCTGCCAACATCGGGCACAAACCCCACAGACCCTCGCTTCCCCGGCAACCTACCGCACTTGATGCGGAAGGTGTCGTCCACCAGCCCCTCGTACACCACCTGGGAGCACAGTGCCGTCACGTAGTCCGTGTCTGCAACGAGAGCCGGTGCCCAGGCCGCCCTCCTGCTCCTCGCGCCCTCCCTGCCTGCCCACCACGGCCCTGCCCGGCCTCAACCACCGCAGCCAGCCGCCCCGGGCCTCCTCCCGCCGCCTGCAGCCACCGCAGGCTCTCCCTGCCCAGTTAATTTGCCGGGGATCCTTCCCCGGGCGAGCTGCCGGCCCGAGCTGCTCTTCAGCCAGCCCCCGCCTGCTGCCCCCCTCGCCCCCGCCCACCTCTGTCCATGAGGAAGACGTTGCCAATCTCAGGCTTCCTGCCCTGGCCGTCGCCCTCGCTCTCCTCCTCCAGCTCCCGCCACAGCTCGTAGCTCATCTGTGATGGGCAGAGCGTGGCAGGGCCCCGGGGGGCAGCGGGGGGGAACCCCCCCACACCCCGCCAAGCTGCCGAGCCCCCGGAGCCGCCCGGGAAGGGGCAGCAGCGCGGTGCCCCCCCTACGGCGACACCGATGCCGCATGGCTGATGGGGTTTGATTCCCCGTGAGCCGCACCCCTCGCGGGGAGCAGAGAGGCTCCCCTGCGCCCGGGCCGTACCTTGGCACTCCTGCCAATCCCATAGGCTTTGCCGAAAGGCCCGTACAGGGAGTTCAGTAGCTGCAGGGCTCGGGCAACGGAGTTGATCCAGCGGTGATCTCCCTCCTGCAAGGACGACGAGACGTCGGGGAGCAAGTCTGGAAATGACTACCACGCTGGGGGACTCGGCTGGAGGCGGACGGGAGGATGGAGCAGGCTCCGGGCTTGGCAACTCCAGAAGGAACGTGCACAGGAACATGCCGGGACGCCCTGAAGCTGCTCAGGAGGGAGCAGAGGAAAAGCCGGCACCAGGGGGCTGTGTGTGGAGGAGGGGGGGGCATCACAGCCCGCCAGAGCAGCCGCCCCCAGCAAAAGCCACTCTGGGACAGCAGACAACGGCCTCCGGCGCGGGCGGAGGGGACTGAGCGGGACGTCATGCATCAGCTCTCTGAATAAAGCTGTCCTGAGCCCAGAAGAGGGGCAAGGGAAAGGCTGCCGCCCCGCAGGGCAGCGTCCCGACACCATCGTCCCACTGACCAAGAAGTAATCGCGAAAGAACTCGGGCAGCTCCATGCTGATGATGTCTTCGTCCAGGGGGAGCAGGTAGAAGGACCATTCATCACAGGTGACGTCTGAGTTTGGGACAGGGAAAGGTGACAGTTACCCAACCCTCGGCAGAAACAGCCCCAAGAATCCCGACAGCCCTGCAAACGGGGGTGTGGGGAGCACAGAGATGGGGCTTTTCCAGGGGGATTCGTGGCAGGACCCTCCCTCCTCCCAGAAGGGAGAGGAGAGGCACGGACGGCGTGGTGCACACACGCCTGGCTGCAGGCAGGCAGCCGGGCTCACCCACGCTCCCCTCCCTGCCAGCACTGGGATCCCAGTCCCGGGATTCAACTGGGCTTCTGTGGCAGCCCTCAGGGAGGGGAAGGGGCAGGCACCACAGCCCCACTCACCACCAAAGACTCCCTCTTCCTCCAGCACCATCTCGCAAGCGTAAAACTGAAAGAGAAGGAGAGACCCTCAGGGCCCAGCCAGGCCCGGAGCGTGCAGAAAAGATGTGGAGATGGAAGGGACCAGCTTGTTCCCAGGCATCGCTACGCTTGGTTTTAATGAAACGTTCCTGGGTTAGAGACGGAGAATTTTTGGTGTCTGCAGAAAGGGTGGAGAGCACAAAGGTGAGGCAGACGGGGAGCAACGGGGTAGCTGGCAGCAGAGCACGGTCAGACTGACCTTTTGGGGGCTGAAGATAATTTTGTACTTCCTGCTCCTCCCCGACATCTTGTCAGCATTGACAATATCTGCAGACAAAAAATGCACAGACCCTGCAAAGACTGCCCACCCCCGAACCGGCACGACCCCTCTTGTGTGATGAGGTGCAGGGCCCCACACCTCACAGCACCCGAAACACCCGAGGCAGAGGGAAAAACCCCAAGCGTGGCGCCCGTCTGCCAAGGCGGCAGCCTCGCCGAAAGCCCTTCTCGAGGAGCCCCCCCCCCCCCGGACACCGACCCCCCAGCCCACGCAGCGTGGGATGCTCCCCACGCCCGTGGGTGCCCAGGGAGCAGCCGCGGCGGGGGGCTGAGGGGTCACCCTCCGCCGCGGGTGCCGGCCGCCCGCGCTCACCGGCGATGTACCGCATGGTCTTGATCCGTGGCCGCACCAGGAAGCAGAACCTGCGGTCGCAGCGGGGAGTGAGAAGCCCGGCGTGCCCGGCCCCTCCCCAGCCCCTTCCCCTCGGCAGCTCTGCCCCGGGACCCCCCGGTGCGGAGGGGTCCGGCCCTGAGCTGGGAGAGGCGCGTCCCCCCTCCCTCCCCGCCTGCTCCGCGGATCCTCGGGGCTGGCTGCAGGGCGGGCGGGCAGCCCCGGTGCCGCCGCGGCGGGGGGGACTCACTGGTCGCTGGTGCTGAGGGGCGGCCGGCTCTGCACCTTGTACAGCTTGTCCACCTCGTGCTGCTGCGGGGCGAGACCGGGCACGGGTGGGCGGGGAGGGACCGGGGCGCGGGTGGGCGGGGAGAGACCGGAGACCGGGGCGCGGGTGGGCGGGGAGGGACCGGAGACCGACCGGGGCGCGGGTGGGCGGGGAGGGACCGACCGGGGCGCGGGTGGGCGGGGAGGGAGCGGAGACCGGGGCGCGGGTGGGCGGGGAGGGAGCGGAGACCGGGGCGCGGGTGGGCGGGGAGGGAGCGGAGACCGACCGGGGCGCGGGTGGGCGGGGAGGGAGAGACCGACCGGGGCGCGGGTGGGCGGGGAGGGAGCGGAGACCGACCGGGGCGCGGGTGGGCGGGGAGGGACCGACCGGGGCGCGGGTGGGCGGGGAGAGACCGGAGACCGACCGGGGCGCGGGTGGGCGGGGAGAGACCGGAGACCGACCGGGGCGCGGGTGGGCGGGGAGAGACCGGAGACCGACCGGGGCGCGGGTGGGCGGGGAGGGAGCGGAGACCGGGGCGCGGGTGGGCGGGGAGGGAGCGGAGACCGACCGGGGCGCGGGTGGGCGGGGAGAGACCGGAGACCGACCGGGGCGCGGGTGGGCGGGGAGGGACCGGAGACCGGGGCGCGGGTGGGCGGGGAGGGAGCGGAGACCGACCGGGGCGCGGGTGGGCGGGGAGGGAGCGGAGACCGGGGCGCGGGTGGGCGGGGAGGGAGCGGAGACCGGGGCGCGGGTGGGCGGGGAGGGAGAGACCGACCGGGGCGCGGGTGGGCGGGGAGGGAGAGACCGGGGCGCGGGTGGGCGGGGAGGGACCGGAGACCGACCGGGGCGCGGGTGGGCGGGGAGGGACCGGAGACCGACCGGGGCGCGGGTGGGCATCGCGGCCGCCCGCCCCAGCCCCGCGGTACCTTCAGGATGGAGACGTTGGCGATGCGGTCCAGGGGGCTCATCAGGTCGGGCTCGATGAACAGGTCCTTCCTCCCGGGGAGCTGCGGGCGGGCCGTGGGGCCGTGGGGCCGTGGGACGATCCCGGCGCCTCACCACCCCCCCCCCCCCGCCCGGGACCCCTCCTCACCCCCCGTCCCGGCCCCCCCGGACCTGCTCCAGCAGGTAGATGAGCTGGTCCCGCGCCAGACGCTTCAGGATCGCGAAGTCGGGCGGTTCGGGCACGTCGCGGCGGCCGGCGGCGGCCATGGCGGGGCGGGGCGTACGGACCCCCCCGCGGCGGAAGTGCCCGGCGCCATGGCGACGCGAGGAGGCGGGACTCTCAGCTCTGCGCACGTTTATTGGCCGCCGCGCCCCGGCCGCGGTTCCCGCCCCGCCCCGGTGCCGGTGCCGGTGCCGGTGCCGGCCCCCCCCAGGCCGCGCTCCTCGAACAGCCGCTGCAGCGCGCTCTCCAGCGGCGCGCTCGTCCCGCGCAGCCCGGCCACCACCTGCGCGGCCCACTGGAAGTACTCCTGCACGCGCTGCGGCGACCACCCTGCGGGGACACGCGTGGGCGCGTCACGGGCGGGAAGGGCCCGTTCGCCGCCCGGGGACCGTGCCCGGCACCGCCTGGGAAGCGGCTCCCCGAGCCCCGCCGGGATCAGGCCGAGCGGGCCCGGGCACAGCCTCCCCAGCCGTGACCGGGGGCTCGTCCGTGTCCCCCAGCGCGGCGTGGGGACCCCCCCCCCCCCCCCCCCGGTGGCGGCGGTGCCGGTGGCGGCTCTACCTTCCGGGGCGCAGCGGTTGAGGTCCCGCAGGTTGTCGAGCTTGTCGGCCAGTTTGACCAGTTTGCCGCGGGGGCTGGTGCCGGCGGCGCGCTCCACCTGCAGCCGCTTTCGCTCCGTCTTGGGCAGCGCCTTGTCGTCCGTCACCTCCTCCACGACGCGCCTGACCTCCTCCCCGAACTGCTCCTCGATCTCCGAGAACGTGGCGTCCGTGTCCTCCACCGTGTCGTGCAGGAGGGCGGCCTGGGGCGAGGAGGGGGGCGGTGGGGGGTCGCGGGGGCCGGGCCCCCTCCGCGGCGGGGGGGGGGGGGGGGGGGGTGGGAAGCGTGTTACCTGCAGCACCACGATGTCGGTCACGCCGGCCTCGTGGGCCAGGATCTTGGCCACCCCTGGGACACGGAGCACAGAGGTGGGGAGGGGGATGCGGCTGTCGGGGGGGGGGGGTGGCAGGACCCCCGAGATCCGCGTGGGGGGGAACGGGACGGGACACACGACACCCTGCGGGCACGTCCTGGGGGGTGAAAGCTTCCAGCTGGGGCAGGCTGGGGGGTGGCAGCCGCGGGGTCCCCACGCCGGGCGGGGGGGGGGCTGTGGGGACAAGGGGACCCCGCGCCGGGCAGGGCAGCAGCTCCCGCGGGCAGCGTCCCGAGAGGAGTGGGGACCCCCCCCCCCCCCCCCCCAACCGGGGCAGGGGAGGGAGTGAGCGCCGGGGCGGGGGGGGGGCTCAGCCTCCCCGGGAGTGGGCAGGGCGCGGGGGGCTCGGCCCCGCGGCGCAGGGGAGGGGACCGGGCTCTCAGCGGGGGCCGGGGTGGAGGTGCTGCGGGGTGGTGGTGGTGGGGGGGGTCCCGGTCAGAGCGTCGGGGCTCCGCACCGATGGGGTGGTTGATGAAGGGGGTGCCCTCGGGGTCCTTCCGCCGCTGCCCCTTGTGCTTCCTGGCCGCGAAGTCGGTCGCCGCCAGCAGCGCCGCCGCCTCGGAGCCCATGACCGGCGCGGCGGAAACAGCGCGGGGGGAGGCGGGGCCCTTCCGAAACGTTTATTGCGCGCCGCGCCCCGGCCCGCCCCGGCCCCGCGGCAGCCGGTACAGGAGCGAGCCGTCGGGGGCGCGCACCTCCCGGGCCCCCCCCGGTGAGGCGCTCAGCGCCCTCTCGTCCTGCCGCTGCCGGCGGCGCGGGGAGAGGCGGCATCCCCGGCCCCGCAGCACCCGCCGCGCCACGTCGGGGCTGACGCCGAATCCTCGGGCCAGGCGCTCCGGCGGCCACTCCTCGGGCAGCTCCTGCCGCAGGAACCTGCGGGGGGACGGCAACGGTCACCGGGGCACGGCCCTTCCCTCCCGGTCCCGGTCCCGGCCCCGCCGCTCACCGCATCTGCTCCATGGCCTGCCGGGTCAGGGTGCGCTCGGGGGCGCCGCCGCCGCCCAGCTCCCGCCGCAGCTTCGCCGCCGCCCGCCGCCGCCGCGCCCTGCGGGGGAGAGACGTGAGAAACACCCCCCCCCCCCCCCCGCCGGCACCGGGCCCGGCCCCCGCCGCGGCCGCCCCTCCCGCACCTCTCGGCCTCTTCCTCCGGTGGCTCCGGGTCCCCGGGCCACGCCGCCGCCGCCCGCCGCGGGGTCCCGGTGAGGAGCGCGGCCGCCCGCAGCCCCCGCCGCAGCAGCGCCGCCATGGCCGGGAACCGGGGAACAAACCGGGCGGGGCCGGCGGCGGGGCGGGGCCGGCGGGGTCTCGGTGTCGTCCCCCCCCCCCCCCTCGGGGTCCCGGTCCCGGGTGGGTGGTCGGGGGACGAGGGAGCGGGGCAGCCTCTCGGGGGGCACCCAGGGGGTGCAGGCACCAGGCCGGGGTGCGCAGCAGGACGCGTGAGGGGACCCCCAGACCCCACTCCGTGGGGGGGGGGGGGGTGGGCAGACAACCGGCCCCGTTGTGACAGCCGTGGTTCCTCAGCGAGCACCCACGGGGAGGTAGGCCGAGCGTGGGCATCCCCTCTGCCACGCTACCTGTGCTTTTCACGCTGCGCGTGTGCGAGACACGCGTGGGCGGCACGTGGGCGGTGGCGGAGACCCGGACCGCGGCGGGGCTGAAGATGCCGTCGCCTGGCACCTTCCCCACGCTGGCCGGGGACCCCGGGTGGCAGCTGCCTGCGTGGGAGGACAGCCTGCCAGCTTCACCTGCAAGAGCACGGGCAGACGTGGGGGGCGGGCAGACACCGGCAGCAGCGTGCTGCGCCGCCCTCCGCGATGGTGGGGCCGAGCACCACAGCCCCCTGGCAGACCCCCTCTGCCCCCACGGCTGCAGAGGGGCTGGAGCCGGTGGCGGGGGGAGCCAGGGAGGGCGGGCAGGGCTGGGTGGAGGGGTGGGCAGTGGGAGCGCGGGGGCAGCGGGGAGCAGCGTGGCATGAGCGAGGCCCGGGGAGGGGCTGGGGGCCATGCTGTGTCACCAAGTGTCCCCTCCACACTCCCCACAGCTAACGCGCCCCTTTGGCTGTCTCTGCTGCGCTTCTGACCCGACTCTCAAGTGCTTCGGGGCTTCTCACGCTCCCCCATCCCCGCACAACAACCCTCGGTCCTGGGAAAACACCCACTTTCTTCCTTGCCCCTGCAAGTGGGACGCTACCAGTGCCAGGCAGAGACTTCCAGCAGTCACCAGTTCCCAGAGAGGACGCGGCGTCCCCTTTGCGGGGTCCGAGCACCCCAGGGGCTCTGAGCTCCCCCCCTAACCCGCTCCTCCCACCCTGGGAACACCCACAGCTCCCACGTGTCTGCCCACGGCTCTGGCTCACCGAGCTGAGCCTCCGCAATGCCGACACTGGGCGCCAAAGGAAGGTAACACGTACTCACAGCAGCCTGCAGCCTTGTGTCCAGCACCAGGTAGCCGCCGGCCTCTCACCTGCAGCCCCCCGGGCTCGGGGCAGGGCTGGGTCCGTGCTGCCCGGCCCCACAGCCAGCCCCCGTCCTGCGCCCGCAGGCTCTGCCGCACCTTGTGCTGCTCACGGTAAGGGATGCCCTGGCCTCGGACGGAGAGGGTGCCCGCGGCGGCAGGATCCGAGCCCAGGCCGGCCGGCAGCTCGGCGTTGGCTGCGGGCTTGCGTGTGAACCGCCGTCCCGAAGGCCGGACCGGACCTCCCAGGAGCGAGGAGGGGATGGGCGTCATTAAGCGTTGGGCCTCCTGGTCCCTGAGCACATCCCAGACGAACTGCGGCTGGAAGGGAAGAGAGCGGCCGCGGCTTAGCTCCGGAGGGCTTGGCCAGCGACGGGGGGGGGGGGAGAAGCCTTCTCTAATCATCTACAGGCGCTCGTTAAAGCAGCGTCGCCCGGCGCCCTCTCCGCAGGCACGCCGCAGTTGCCGTCCCAGGTTCAAACCATCGAAGAGGTGACGGCAGCTGCAGCAGCGCCGAGGGCCCCGTCCTCCGCCCGTAACACCGGGCTGAGCTGGAGCAGGGTTCGTGGAAAGACATGCCAAGACCCAGTGATGAAGGACCTGAGCCACCCCCAGGTAACCCTTTGTTGCTGAAAAAATTACCCAGATTTCAGGCAGAGTTTGGGTTTCAGGTTACATCCTGCTTTGTCTAGTGGAGGAAAAGGCAGCTACCATCAGTTCTTACAGATCAAATCCCATCTGAGACTTCCTCTGTTAAATTAAATGGACTATTTCCAATTTCTTGTAAGGTACTAGAAGAGTCCCAGGTCCTGGATAATTCCTGCAACTCTGGTGCCTTGAGTTTGTCAACATCCTTCTAAAGTGCATCACCCAGCCAAGGCTGCCTTTCTGGAAACAGATGGTGCCACTGGAAGGCAACGGCCCTTGCACAGTTTTTCATTAATTGCAGGTCCCCGACACAGCAGGTGACGGCCACCATCAGTGCTCCAGAACAGCGCTTGGAGCCTCACGGAGCACACAGACAGCGGGCTGCAGGCTTCCTCCTCCTCTGGTTTTAGACTGGAATCCTGGTTTGGGGGTTGGTGTGGTAGCCAAGGCTCAGTCTGGGACAACCACGCACATCTCATTTAAGCCGAGGTCCAAACCCCGGCTCCCCTGGTCCATCCTCTGCGAAGCCCAGCTTTCCTCGGCTGCGCACTTCGCGACAGTCTGGGGCGCGGGAGCAGCGGCGCCGAGGGTTTACACCGTCGTGTGCTCTTGCAGGGCGAGGATGACTCTGAAGAGGGAGCCCCAGGCCGAGGGCTGAGCCCCAGGCCGAGGGCTGAGCCCCAGACCAAGGGCTGAGCCCCAGACCGAGGGCTGAGCCCCACGGGGTTTAGGCATGTGCACTAACTCACTAACCCGTCACCTTCCCCGTGTGGGGAGTGGCGCAGTGTAGAAGGCAAGATGTTTAGGGAGAGGCGTTGTTTGCAGTGCAGAATTCACCTGAAGATATTTCGGGTTTTTTTTTTAGCCATCCACTGACTTCCCTTCAGTCCCCCTTTGCTGTGTGCGCCCCTTTAACCCACTCCTACTAGCACGTTAGTGCTCCTAACCCTACCTAGGAATTAATTTTCTTCAGCTGGGAGAATGACGCTACCGCCCCGAAGCAGCAGCTCACACTAAGCTGCATGCTGGGGACAGCGGTGTCCGAAAGGCAATATCCTGGCGGTCTGTTCTCTGCAATACAGGGGAGAGGGGTCGTCGGGGCGTGCAGGGGCTCTACGCAGCTGCCTGGCACACCCCCAGCACGCCCGCTGCGAAAGGGACAAAGTCAGAAACTGTATGAAAGCCCACGGGCCCGGACACTACGTTGGATCTCATTTAACTGAGCCACACCAGAGATGCTCAGTGCCCGTGCTTCAATCCTCACGGTCCTCCCGCGAGTGGCTGTCTCCTAGGTCGGCCTGGCAGGATGGATGTGGGCAATCTTCAGTTACCTGGCTCGTGGGGAGAACGGCGCAGGATGTCTGGGTGTCGGCTGGTCTGCTGGTTGTGGGGAGCAGCTGGCAGAGCTGGTCTATGATGCCCAGGCCTCGGATAAGGTTCTCGCGCTGCAGAAGGGCATTTATTCTCCTCTTCTCCTCATTCTCCACAATATCCTGGGGTTGCATAGAGTCGTACTGCATGCGTTGTATCTTGGGAAAGAAAGACCTGAGTTACAGCGAAGTTGAAGCTGCAGTAACGTGCGCGAGAGGCAAAGCCACAGAGTGCTCCGAGCCCTGGGGAGAACCACAGGCTTTGGGGGGGATTGCGGTGAAGGTCCCGGCGGGAGCCACACGAGGGGAGGGACAACACTGGTGCTTGCAAGCGCGTCCCAGCACAAACTGACAACTCTCCCGACTCCGTGAAGGGGAGTCCAGCCCCCCAGTTCTGCTCCTTGGGAGACACCCACGGCCCAGCGCTGTTCCCAGAGCCCCGTCATTGCCCCTCAGAGCCCTGTGGACAAGAGCAGGGTACCCTTCTATCCCACATCCTGGTACTGCTATAGGTGAGGCGAGTGGTAGGGGCTGTGGTTTTATTATGGATCTGGGATTTGTCTCCAGCTGACTCTCCATGCAGCTCTTCCTTCCTCTCTCTTTTCTTCTTCTTAGTAACAGCTTCCAACTTTTCTTTTTTTAGGCGAATTTCCTCCAGTTGCTGCCTGCCATAGAACAGTAGTCTTAGTCACTGGTTCAATAAAAGCCATTATAGCAAAAGGCTATTATGAAGCCTTCAATCCAAGGACATTTTACTGCAGTCCGAAGTTCTGTAGTGAATAGCCCACAATAGAAGTGTGCCAAGAAATGGGCCAGGAGTGCTTTTAAAAGCGACTCTCACTGCTGTAAGAAATGCCTTTGCATTAGGCAGTGCCTGCCAGAAGGGTGGAGGACACTTGTGACGTGGTGCCTCCAGAGTCCAAAAGTTGATGGAATATTGCGCTTGCCTCTCGAGGGTACGTGCGCAAGGAAGGTGCTTTGCCACGGTGACACAGCACACGCAGGCTCCTTCCCTTCCAGCTCTCACCGGCTCGCTTACCTCCGCTGAGCCGCAGAGCCGCTCCCAAGAAGGGACCAGAAGCAAGCGGTCTCCGTGCCACGGCGTGAGCAGCGGGGTTGCGGCAGGAGCAGCGTACCTGGCACACTCCTCCCGTGCTCTGGACGCGGCTGTTTCCTGGAAGAGGGAGCCACTCTGCTTGAAAAATGGCTCGTACTTCTCTGTTCCACGTGCCGGATAGATGCGCCGGTAACGGCCCAGGTGCGAGTTCTCGTACTTCTCTGCCCGAGACAGCCAGGCAGCCTGGTTGCTCTCTAACTCCTCGCGTCTGCAAACCGGGAGAAAGCGGAGGCAGGGAGCTGCGACAGGAGCCTCCGCGTGCTGTCCTGGCTGCGGGACACGGACCTAGCTAGCACTTTCCCCCGTCTTGCCCCGTTTGGGAGCTGGTTTCACCTGGGTGCGCTGCAGGGAGCCACCACAACCCCTAACTTCTTCATCCTCCGCCTGCGGAGCACTGGGGCGGCATTCCCAGCCCTCTCCCCCGCCGCCCAGGCTCGCGCCCTGCCCCTCAGCCTTTTCACACAACCAACCCAGTTACAAGAGGGGTTCAGCTGAGATGTGCCCGTCCGGGGCCTGTCTGCCACCCGTGCTGCTGGGGCTGCACGGGCAGGCACGGTACAGGCTGACGCTCGGTGTCTGCAGCCCAGAGTTATCTCAGGTCTCCTAATTAAAGCGGGAGCTGGAGGGAGTTCCTGCCTCGCCCTGCACGGCAGTAAAAGCGCAGGCAGCAGGCTTAGCCAACCTGGCCTCCAGAGCATCCTTGTGTAGGTTAATTAATCGTGAAAGGACATGCAGATGGAGAAGGCGGGGGAGGGAAACTCTCAGCCCTGGGAAAGGAACCCTGCTCTGGAGAAGGGCTCCGTGCCCCCGGGAGCTCTCGGTCCCCGAAGCAGTGCTGCAGTCTGTCCGTCCAGCGTCACTGTGAGCCCAGGGATGCCGGCACTGCCCTCGGCACTGAGGGACGTGACGAGCAGGCGCAGCTCGATGGGGATGACTCTGTACAGAGCCTAGAGCACCAGGCGTCTCAGATCTCCTAGCACCCAGAGATGAGCTCTGGCTCTCCCTTGCGGGATGCAGATGGCTTGGGAGCTCTCTTCTCAGAGGCTGTATAGAGCCCCGGCCCCTGGGAGCTTTACTTTGGAGACCACCAGCCCCAGTTTTATCCTGCTGCGCCACACCCCACCTTTGCTCACTGCAGCACTATGGGGAAGAGCAATACCTGGCTGCACGGAGCGTCTGATGGGCCTGGAGGAGCCGTTCCTTCGCCCGCTGTTTGTCTTCCTCCAGCACCTTCCTTTTGTTGCAGGCATGCAAATTTATCAGGTTGATGGTATCACGGAGAAGAGCATCCTTCACCTCGCGGTCTAGGCGAGAGTCTGTGGTGAAGCTGGGAGAGTGGTTCACCTGCCAAAACAAGCGGCTAATCTAACCTGGCAAGCCCCAGGTCCCAGAAGGCGCTGCCAGCTCACAGTCTGCCCCATCACACGCTTTCCGTGGACGTTCCTCCCTCTAACAGTGACGGAAAGGCCCCGCACCCCGCAGGGCTGCAGGCGCGGGGCAGCTGTCAGGAACTCGGGATGATGCTACAGGCCAGGGAGACCCAAAGTCCAGGAAACTCCCTGCCGTTAGGGAGGGTGTGCAGGGAATGGGCTCTTGGATCCCACTGGGCCTACAGCAGGTTGCTTGGCTACTCGTCATTACAGCCTGCTTAATCTCACAAATGAGGTGGCCCTTTTTAATCAAAGGAGCTCTGTTCATCCCACCACCCCTTGTTCTGGAGCCTCCCGGAGACAAGCCAGCTCTCAGCTACCTGCTGCTTCCAGAGCTGCTTCAACACAGCAGGAGACTCCTTCCTCACCTCTAGCAGCCACGGCTTCAACTTTCTGTCTAGCAAAATATCAAAACCCAGTATCTCAAAGCAGGCAGAGCCAGTCGTGTGGTTCGGAAAGCAGCTTTGGTAATTGTGCTTCACAACAGGGTGAGCTGAAATAAGAGTCTTTATAATAATATCTTCAATGTCTTCCCAGAGCTTTGCTGTGTTGTAGTTGTTATCTGTCATCCAGGCATTCAGGGTGGACAGTTTCCTGTGTGGAGGACAGGAGACAATAAGAGCTGACCTGTGATACCACGTTTGCCCCCCAGAAAGGTGGCAGTAATCCAGTGTCCCTGCAGGACGTGCACCGGGCACTGCGGTACCTGGACAAGACAATACCTCTTACTGCCCACCGTGCCATCCTGGACAAAGTTTTCGTTATGTTTGTTGATAGCATAATTGGTCAGATGCATGCAGATATCACCCTGAGAGAGGAACCGCAAGAGACTTTCATTTACTCTTAACCCCAGAGTGTAAATAGCAACAGCCTCATTAGCACTAATCTAGCCACCAGCTTCCCCTGGTTCCATCTCTTGGCGGCAACTTGCAGCAAGGAGTTAATTGTGCTGGCGAGTCCCTCCCTAGCCAGAATTTAGAGCTAACAGAGCTTGGCCCTCTCCACACCTCTGTCCTCGTCTCTGGGGGAGAGCACGGGAGTCAGCTCCGCAAATGCCATCCCAGCCGTGGCCTCACCAGTAAGCAAGGGACCCCTCGGGACAGAAGCTGCAGCAAATTTCTGCAGATTCTTCCTCCTCCTTTGTTCACCCGAAGCAGAAGACCTCTCCAAGCCATGCACGTATCGAGTGAGGGAGGGCATAGAGCCAGGCAGCTCTGGGCCAGGCAGGAGACAGCCAGAAGCCCGGGGTGTCTCGGGCCAGGCAGCGACTGTAGCACAGCAACCCAACGCTGTGGGATTTTACAGGTTACAGACCCCTGCTTGGAGGTGGGCACGGCCATACTCCGCACCTTGCTTTCCCAGGTCCCCTCCCTGTCTCTCCTAGCCTGTGCCAGTACCACCAGACAGCCCCCAGGTCCCTCTTTTCCGCCTGAAGCACAGGCAGACGAGGGATGGTGTGGACGTGAGAACGCTCATGAAGGGCAGAAGCAGTAGGAGCGCTGCCCCGAAACACCGTGGGCAACCTTGCAGTCTTTCAATGCCTGACTGGGTGAAACCCCAAGAAAACCAGATCTGAATTTACTGTCGACCTGGTTTTGAGCAGAAGGTTGGACTCGAGGCCTTCCAAGGTTCCTTCTAAGCAAAACAACTCCCTGACTCTGTGATAATGCCAGTAAACAGCCCAGACATGGGGCCTGGGAGTAGATATACTCCAGACACTCCTGAAATACCTCCTGTGAGGAGGAGGGGGAGGTGCAGAGGGAGGAGAGAACAGGAAAGAAGAAAGTTGGGTCCCACAAAAGCCACCGTTGCCTGTCTTTTCAAGGTCTGGGATGCCCCTGGGGCAAATTAGGGACTAACACCTGCAGATACTATGCAAGTTTTTTTGGAAACTTCCCTTTTTTTACCAGGTTTCTGCTGCTGGAATCGATGTACCTCATGGTGGCAAACCGGGCCAGACCCTCCTCGTAGACAAAAATCCTCAGCGGGTCACAAGATGTAACCAGCACATAGATACGCATGTCGAATTTAAAGCCGTCAATAAGGAACGGCTGTGAGAAAAAAGGCAGGAGCAAGCATGAGATAAAGAAACGTTGCTAGGCATGCTGCCAGTTCCTTGAGGCTGGCTGCTCTATCTGCACTGCTTGTGCTGCTCCTTGGCAGCTCGGCAGCAGGCAAGCTTTCCCTGTGCCCCCGCTGCGCTGCAGCCCCCCCAGCACCCGGGCACAGGAGACAAGGAGGATGCGGGGTGTCAGAAGAGCCAGGAGGCTGCAATCCTCCACCTGTATTTCGAGACTCTCCCCGCTACCTTGGAGATATACTGCTGACAGATCATATGCTCTCCATGTTTGATCTCCTCGGGATTGTGTGTTATGAAGATCCCTCTCCCCTGGCAGCCGCTGTCTGGCTTGCAGATGAATGTTCTGTTTTTCCTCATGCGTCTGTAGGCCTGGAAATCTCCATAGCTGTGCAAGAAAGGGGCGGCTGTTACAAGCTGCAAAAAAACAGCCCCTGAATTCTCTCGTAACAGTTAGGTACTCAAACTATGGGCCAGTGCAGACCAAACTTGTGCAGCAGAGGAACAGCGCACCTATTCCCAGCCTGATCGGTTAGAAATTGGCCCTTGTGCGACCTGACAAAGCTCTCCTGGTTCCACCTTTTGCTTGCACACATCTCCACCTCTCCCGGGAGGTTCACAGGAAGCAAGTCACCACTGCGCACACAGGAGCCAGTGAGATCACGGCTCTGCTGCCACAGAGAGAGCAGGAGAAAATAAACAAGCCCTGGCTGCAGAGGAGGAGGTTGCAAGCCTTCCCATCCCTTTTTAGGCCAGCTCAGCAGCAAGCAGGCGGGAGGCCACGGCCAGGGCGCAGAGGCGCGGCAGCTGAGCTCCCACATCACGTTACAGGGCTGAGCTGCAGGAGCAGCTCCCGTGCGAGCACAGTGCTTTCAAGTGTCAAGCTCACGTGCCAATTCGGTATTTTGCTGTAGACGGAGAAGCACCGTCTCTCTAGCGGGCACCACATTTAGGGCAAGAGAGGGGCAAACAGGACAAATCCCTGAAAACAGTGCCAAGAGCGATCCGAGTCCGGGAAACGCAGCCTGGAAAGAAAGATGAGAGAACTAGGTCCGTCTTCTCCAGAAGTGGGAAGGCTGAGAGGACACGTGGCAACAGCCGTCCTGGACATGACACACGATTAGCAGAACGCAGCAAACCACTGTTCTCCAGGGCCAGTGCAAACGGGAGAAGTCCTCAGTGCCGGTATTTCAGCGAAGATGCTTTAGGTCAGAAATTAAGAAAAACATTCTAACTATGAGGAGAATCCAGCTACAGAACAGGTGACGGGAGCCCTTCTTTGAGGTCTTCAGGAAATGGTAAGAGTAAAATCTGTCTAAGAATGGGTATCTTGTCTCCTTACAACCACCCAAACTTCGAGTGCCCCGTGGCCTCTTTCAGCTACGTCTCTATCACTGCTTGCCCGTATGTGATCGGAGAAGCCAGGCCTTCTGCCCCAAAGCTTGAGGAATTCGGTGATGGTTTGCATCTAGTTGTATACGTATTAGCATAGTGACCTCCTCTCCCATCTGTGTGCTCTGCTGCAGCAGGAGCAGAGGTGCAGGGGCTGTGAAGGCAGCCATCGCAGCCGGCGGGGTGGAACGGCCTCGTGCCCCGGACCCCTGCCCCCTCCGGCAGGCGATGGGCACCGACAGCGCCGGTGGGGAAGGCAGCCTGCCAGGCAGCCCGGAGCTGCAGAGACACCTTCCACGTGCCCACTACCGCCCTTTGGCTCTACAGGTGGGTCCCTCTGCCCAGATTTAGCCCTTCCGCATGCGGTCTGCCCCGCAGCAAGGCGTGCATCGCAGAGGACACCGTTCCTTGGGCCCATCCAGTCTAATAGGAATTAAAGATGTGTGAAAGTAGAAGCCTGTCTCAACACCCCGCTCAGTTCCAGGGCAGGTTCTGCAGGCCCAGGCCAAGAGATAAGATCTCGGCCAGGCATCCCCGACCCAGCCCTGGCTGTCAAGCATAGAGGCTCCCACTTCCTCATTTCATACCCCTGTTCTGGGCTGCGTTAGTGCGTATCACTCACTCAGCTGGCAGGCACCAAGTGCGGGGAAATATATTGTACTCCTTGGGGAAGAGCCTGAGCATGCGGTTAAGGTTGCGAGCCAACAAGTCCTTACGGCAGATCTCTATCATGCCTGGGAAATGGTTGATTTTCTGAAAGAGGTGCAGATGAAAAACAGAATCAGCAAAGGAACAGCAGGGATCCTCCTTGAGACCCGAGGAAAGCCTGCGTGCAGGGAAACCGGCGGGCAGAACGGGAAGCTGGGCCTGTGATTGCCTTGAACGTCTGCTGAGGGGGGACAAGATTACGCTACGACTGCTTTATCTGAACTTCACCGTGTGATTTATCTGCTCGTTCCATCTCTCCCTCCCTAGAGTATCACGGATGCAGGGAGGGAGCTGTTTGTCATCAAGAACCATTTATTTCATGCTGCATTAAAGGGGCTGGCGGCTTTCCAGTTCACGCTACTGACTGCCAAGGCGCTGCTGACGGCGCCGTACCAGCGACACGGCAGAAGCAAAGGCCTGTGAACCTGCAGCCCCTGGCACCGACGCAGAGAAAGGGGCACGGGTGCTCGTTTGGACACTTCGGTTTCATTCTGCAACACGTTGTTCCACTAACAGCCCCCCTCTCACCCTCCCTCCTGAGCTCTTCCTGCTGGGCTGCCTTTACCCGGGGGTATTTACCTGAAACCGCTTCATTTCCATGACGCGCTCCAGAGAGACCGAGTAGTCCGTCCAATACACCGTCCACTCCTCGTTTTCTCCCACTTCTTTCAGCCCGCAGCACCGTGCTGCCCGCCGCACTGTACCAAAGCAAGCACACGACAGGGGCCAGGCAGAGGACGTGAGCGCCAGGGATGTTAAATCCCCAAAGTAACCAGAGACGGAGGAGTGGAACAAACTTCTCCAGGCCGCAGTTCCACTCTCAGAGACGGGAGGCATTGGCGGGGCCCTTCAGGGGGTGTCAGGAATACAAGCTTTGCCCAGCTAAACTCACCCCAGTCTCTGGCTGCTAGCGTACTGGGAGCTATCAGCCCCCTAAGCCCACATGCCTCGGGGTCCCACAGCACCTGCTGAACTACAGCAGGCGTGAACGCGCCGTGGGTCTGACACCGCGCGGGCAGATACAAGTCTTCCAAAGGTATGAGTGTCACCTTCGAAATCAAAAGCTACCTGGAGCAGAAGGTTGCTGCTGGGGTGGTTCGTGTTGGTGCTGGTTCTGAATTTGGCCTCTCGGGGGGCTGGGGAGGCGATGAAGCCTAGGAACCGTTGCGGAGCGGTTCTGGGTCCTGCTGCGGGTCCCCACCCACCTCCCCTCGCCAAAAAAAACCCGAGCACGGCCCGGGGCCAAACGCGGCTCTTGCCCCTCCGCCTTCCCGGCGCAGCTGAGCAGGCTGCGAACCTTCGGCAACGCAAACGTGGTTGCAGTGCTGGAACAGCCGTCAGCAAACCGGCCAACGGCACCCAGCAAACGACAGGAGCCGGTTCTTTTAAGAACCAGTTTGTGGCAGCAAAGGAGAGCAAGGCAGGGGAGGGGAACGAGCTCCCTGGAGCACGTCACCGGGGATGGACGGCGAAGGGAGAGGCTGTGGATACCGATCCTGCCTGTTCCACCACCGGCTTCACGTTCAGGAGTGGAGCCTCTCAGGCCATTTCCCCGAGCACAGGTACCAGCTCTGCACCGGAGCTGCCCCCGACCGAACCCTTCTCGCCGGTGCTGGCGGGTGGGTGGTCGAGGGCCGACGCACTCGCGCTGCTGCCGCGCGTTTCGTGCCTCTCGTAAACCAGAGGGCACCTCAGTGCACAGCGGGAAAACCTTCCCAACTTCCACGGGGGGCCCCAAGTCGCTCGCAACCAGTCAGTGCGTGAAGCGGGAGCGACGGCGCCCCGTTAACTCCCCGTTAACTCGGTACCGGGCGCTCGCCGTGGGTGGGCTGGCCGAGGGACACGCTGCGGCACCGGGACTCACCGCTCTCGTACTTGCAGCTGGTCAGGTTGATGGAGGGAGCGCTGGAAGGGGAAGAGCAGAGAGCGGGTGCTCAGCCGGGCCCGGGCGCGGCGCAGCACCCACCGGGCGCGTCGGGCTTGGGTTTAGAGGGACAATTTAAGGGAAAGAGCGTTTATTTTCTGATTTCAAGGTCCCTGGAAAGGCTCCCCGGGGCGGGGGCGGAGGGCCCGGCCGAGCCTTGCCCCGGGGGAGGAGCAGGGCAGCGCCCCGGCTCCCGCCGCCCCGCCCGGTACCGAACACGGGGCGGGCGCCGACCGACGGGCGGACAGACGGGCGGACAGACGGGCGGATCCCGGGCACAGCGGGCCGGGCCCTGCCGAAGGGGGGGGGGGGGGGGGCGCTGCGGCCTCCTCCCTCCTGCACTCGCCTGCGCTTCCTCCGCCTCCTCCGCGGCTCGGGGCCGAGGGGGCGGCCGCGGAGGGTTCCCGGGGCGGGGGGTCCCGGGGCGGGGGGTCCCGGGGCGGGGGGTCCCGGGGCGGGGGGTCCCGGGGCGGGGGTTCCCGGGGCGGGGGGTCCCGGGGCGGGGGGTCCCGGGGCGGGGGGTCCCGGGGCTGACCCCCCCTCCTCGCCGCCTCCCGCCTCCATCGCGCCCGCCGCCCGGGGGAGGAGGCGACACGTTCCCATGGCGACCGGGGCGGGGGCCCGCGCGGGCGGGGGGCGGAGCCACGGGAGACTCCTCCCCAAAGGGCATAGAGACCCGGGCGCTGCCAGCCAGAGAGGCCCCCTTCCTTCTTCCCGGTGGTCAGCCGCCGCGCAGCGCCCCCTGGCGGATGGCGGGAAGGCAGACGCCCCGGTCCCGGTGCGGGGAGCGGCCCCGGTCCCGGTCCCGGCCCCGGTCCTGGCCCCGGCCCCGCGCAGCTCAGCCCTCCAGCAGCCGCAGCAGGTCCCCGCCGAGGCGCAGCAGCTGCGGCTCCGGCAGGAGGCTTTCCTGGATGACGCGCAGCGCCTGGGTCTCGGTGATGCCGCGGAAGAGCGGCGCGGCGGGCAGCGGCAGGAACCCCGCCAGCTCGCAGACCGCCACGCCGAACCCCGCGCCCGCCTCGGCGCCGAAGCGGGGCTGGCGCGGCCACAGCAGCACCCGCAGCCCCCGCCCCGCCGCGCCCCCCCCCCCCGCCGGCGGGTCCCCCCGGGTGGCGAAGACGTTGTAAGCCAAGCCGCGGTCCCGCAGGTGCTCCGCCGCCCGGCACACGTCCCCCGCCAGCGCCGGCAGCGCGGCGGGACCGGCGGCGAAGAAGAGGAAGGCGGGCGCCGGGACGCCGGTCAGCAGGCTGAGGCGGCGGCGCGGGCAGAGCGGGCGGGCGGGCGCGGATTCGAGCGGCAGCGGGCGGCGCAGGTAGAAGCCGTGCAGGTGCAGGTGGTTAACGGAGGCGCCGGCCGCCAGCCCGTTGAAGCCGAGGCGGAATCCCGGGTGGGCGCTGAGCAGCACGGCCTCCAGCCCGGCGCGCAGCCCCGCGGCCGGCAGCGCCTGCGGCAGCCCCCGCGCCGGCTCCGGCAGCAGCAGGACGTGGCCCCGGTCCAGCGGGCTGGCGTTGATCGCCACCCAGACCGGGTCCGGGGCGGCGGGGCCGGGGCCCGCCCGGCGCAGGCGGAGCAGCAGCTCGGCGGGGCGCAGGCGGGTGAAGTTGAAGGCGGCGGGGTCGAAGGGCTGGCGGAGGCTGAGGACGGGCTGCGGCGGGCGGCGGGCGGCGCCGCGCTGCTCGTTGAGCTGGGCCAGGAGGCCCAGGGGGCCGGGCAGGACGCGGGTGGGCAGCGGCCCCAGCCGGTACCGGAACAGGCCCCGCTCCATCCTGTCGCTCCATCCCTCCAGCAGCGCCCGGTCGAAGCGGGACGGCGCGGAGCCCGGGTCGCCCTCCCAGCCGGCTGCCTGCAGGACGAAGTCCTCCTCCCCGTACACGAAGTCCTCGGGGCTCGGGTCGCCCGGTTCCTCGCCCGCCGCCGCCATGCCGGGTGCTGGGGCGGGGCGGGGGCGGACCGGTGCCCTCCCTCCCCCCCCTCTTCCTCCTCCTCCTCCCCCTCCTCTTCCTCCTCCTCCCCCTCCCGGTGCGCCCCGCGTCACCCCCGGTGCTCCCCCGGATAACTCCCCCCCCTCCACGTGTCCCCCTGGGTGCCGAGGGCGGGGCGGGGCTGTGCCTCCCGGGTGGGCGGGGCGTTGCCATGGGAGCGGCAAGAGTGACGTGCGAGGCGGAAGCGGCGCGGGCAGCCATGGGGGGCTCGGCCAGCCTGTTGCCGCAGGAAGCGCTGGGCGAGTATGAGGTGGGGACACACGGACACGGACACGGACACGGACACGGGCACACACCGGCACCGGGAGCGGGGGGGATCGGTCGTGGGGAAACCGGCCCCGGGACTGAAGCTCGGCCGTTGGGGGGGGGGGGGGGGGGGGCGGGGGGCTCGGCCGTTGTGGGGGGGGCGGGGGGCTCGGCCGTTGGGGGGGTTCACGGGGCGGGGGGGATTGCCCCGGTGCTGACCGGCGCTCTCCCCGCAGGAGCTGACCTTCCTGAGCAAGCAGGAGATCCTGCTGTAAGTACTGCCCTGGGCAGGGAGCGGGGACACCTCGGCCCCCCCGGGGTGGTGGTGGTGGGGGGGGGTGTCTCTGATTTGGGGGGGCACAGAGGGTCCCGGCAGGCCCCGGCCCCGCTGCGGGGCTTCCCCTGTGCTGAGGATCCGCTCCATGCCGAGCAGGAGCTGCCGATCCCACGCGGGACCTTTCCCTGCCGCCCGGGCTGTGGGGGCAAAGGTTTGGGGGTGCTGCGGGTGGCACAGGGCGGGGGGCCTGGATGGGGACACGCCGCAGAACGGGGCCGGCCCGGGGGCGGCTCTGTCCCCCTCCCGCGTCCCAGCCGGCTGGGTGGGCAGGCTCCTCGCCCTCGCTGCCAGCCGCGGGGGTCCCGGGAGCGGTGGGGGGGACCCCCCCCGGGCCGGCTCTGCGCACCGCTGGCAAGGAGCTGTGGGAAACGGGCCGCCCGCCTCGGTGCAGCGCTGGGAAGAGCTGCCCGCTCCCGCCACAGAGCACCCCCTTGTTCTCGCTTCCTCGAGTGCCTACAAGAGGTTCAGTGAGCTGCTGCCAAAGGAGGAGAGGGGGAGCGCCGGCTCCGCCCGGGTCCCCAAGAGCCAGATCCTGACGCTGCCGGAGCTGCGGGTACGGTGCCTGGCAGACCGGGACGCGCTGCTGCTCCCCGGGGTGGGCACGAGCCCGTGGCCGGTGTTTGCCACGGGCCGGCCCGGCGCAGCCCAGCCCTGCGCTGAGCCCCTTCCTCTGTCGGCAGGCGAACCCCTTCCAGCACCAGATCTGCCACGTGTTCTCCACCTCGGGCAACGGCGACGGCAGCATGTCCTTCGAAGACTTCCTCGATATGCTGAGCGTCTTCAGCGACTCCGCGACCGTCAACATCAAATCCTACTACGCCTTCCGCATCTTTGGTAAAGCCGGGGGGTGGGTGCCACGTCCTGGGGTCCCCGCACCTCGGCGGGGGGTGGGCAGGAGGGCTGGGAACTGTGGGGACTGCTGGTTTGGTGCAGGTCACCCAGGCCCTCTCCTCGCCCAGCGCGGGTGCTTGTGACTCTCTGGGGTCGCTGCGGCCCTGCTGAAATGTGTCTTTCCTCTCCCCAAAGACTTTGATGCTGATGGGATTCTGGACAGAAAGGACCTGGAGAAAGTGGTGAACTGTCTGACCGGGCAAGGCGAGGAGTCCCGGCTGAGCACCGCGGAGATGGAGCAGCTCATCCAAAACGTGAGGACGGTCAGGTGGGGCACGGGCCGCTGCGCAGCCCCGGCCACACTGAGCTCACCACTCGCCCTTCCCTCCCCTCCAGATCCTGGATGAGTCCGACATCGACCGGGACGGCACCATCAACCTCTCCGAGTTCCAGCACACCGTCTCCCGCTCCCCGGACTTCGCCAGGTACGGTGGTTTCCAGTGGCACCGCTTGTCCCGGGGGGCTTGTCTGGGGGGGTTGGCCCACTCTGATCGCTGCGCTGGCACTGGGGCAGAGCTCTCGGTGGCAGTAAGGCAAGGCCACCCTGTCTGAGGGGCTCTGCATCCCGTGCTAGCTCTGCAGAGAGCCTCTCCCGTACCGGCACTGCCTCACTGTCGCACGGGGAGCTTGCAAGCCACTTGCGTGTGAGCCAGCGAGGAGGTGCAGAACCTGCCGTGTCTCTTGCAGCTCCTTCAAGATCGTCCTGTGAGAGCCCTGCGGCTCCCCAGCAGAACTGCTCCTCCGACTGCTGCAGCTCTTCGTGGTCTCAGACATTTCCTCTTTCAGCAAGCAGCGGGGCAGAGGCCCCCGCTCCGCACCAGCCCGGCGGTGCCGCACAGTGCCTTGGGCAGGACACCCTCCTGCTCCCCCTTCGGCCCGGCAGACCCCTCTGCAGCGGTGGGGCCCTGGGAAGCTGAGCTGCCTTGCCTGCCGCTGCTCTACTCTCCCAGGATCGGATTTTTAACTCCTCATGCGAACCACGGGCAGCTCTGTGGGTGGGGGGAGGCACACGCTGCACCGAGCCCAGCCCCTTTCTGCCCTCAGCACCGATTTGTGCCTTCCACGAGCAGGCAGGGAGCTGCCTCCCCCTGCCCAGCTCGCCCGTCTTCCAGGGGGCCTCCCTGCTGCAAGGGGGATCCCTTGGAGGAACAACCCAACTGGGGATCCCTTTCTCTGAGCAATAACCCAAACGGGGATCCCTTTGAGCACAACCCAACTGGGGATCCCTTTCTCTCAGCAATAACCCAACTGGGGATCCCTTTCTCTGAGCAATAACCCAAACGGGGATCCCTTTCTCTCAGCAATAACCCAACTGGGGATCCCTTTCTCTGAGCAATAACCCAAACGGGGATCCCTTTGAGCAACAACCCAACTGGGGATCCCTTCTCTGAGCAACAGCACAAACAGGGATCCCTCTCTCTGAGCAATATCCCAAACAGGGGCCCCTTTCTCAGCAATAACCCAAAGGCACCACACCTGTGCCATCCCAGCAGCAGCATCCCGCCACGCTGCCTCGGCACTGACCATGCTGGGGCCCTGCTCTCCTTGTCCTTCTCTTTCCCTCTCTGCCCCCTCCTCTGGCTCAGGCTCAGCAGCTGCTCCGGCCTCTTCCTCCCTCTGCTCCTGCGAGGACACAAATAAAGGGCTCTGGTTTCACCCCCTGCTCTGTGCCGCCTTTGTCTCGCTGCGGGGACAGCGGAGGGGGCCGCTCCGGCAGCGCCGCGGGACGGGTGCCACGGGGGGTGCTGGGGACCCGGCCCCCTCCCCGCCAGGCCCCTCTGCCTGCGTGCCAGCCGCGGCCCCGGGGGACGGGTCCCCCCGTCCCGCTCGGTGACAGCCCTTTCCGCCAGCCGCCTCCCTCCTCTCAGCCCGGGACTGCTCTCCGCACAAAGGGCTCTGCGAGCGAGCGAGGGGCACAAAGGGAAATCCAGGGCAGGCGAGCGGCTACCTCTGCCTCCCTTTGTGTCTGTTCATCCGTCAGGCTCTGCCCTGGGCCGCAGCCAGCCGCGGGCAACGGCCCCCGCACCCCAGCGAGCCCCCGGCCGCGCTCCCACCGCGCCGGCGAGGCGACGGCCGGGGCGGAATGGCTGACGGTTGTCCCGGGGCACCGGCGCGGCCCTTTCTCACGTACCGGGCTCCTTGCTCCCGGTGGTGCCAGCCCTTCCAGCTCGGTGCCCCGCGGTGCTGATGGTATCTGCTCGCCGGGGGGGGGGGGGGGGGGGCTGTGTCTGCTGGCAGGGCACCAGCCAAGGCCTCCGGTGGCTTTTTTGATGTCCCAGAACAGGCTGGGCAGGAAGATCGGTGCGCTGGTCCAGCTGGGAGCGAGGCAGCGCCGGTGCCCGCGGAGGGGGGGGGGGAGGAAAACCTGCCTGGACTCGCCAGCTCAGAGCTCGCCGCTTCCCCCCGCACCGTCCCACGCTGCCGGCGCTTCCCGGGCACAAGGGCTCCCACGCCGCGACGCAGCGCGGGGCTCGGCCATCGCGGCGCCGGGTCCCACCGGGTCTGCCTGCAGCTCCACGGGACGGGGACAAGGACCTGCCTGCTCCGTGGGCCTGGGGGAAGGGGCTGCCCTGCTCCCCGCCCCAGGCACCCCCCTTTTCTTCCTCCCCATCACCTCAGCCTTCCTCCGCTTCTCCAGCATCACCCCATCGCTCGGCAGCCACCCCCAGCACAGGGATCACTCTGTTCTGCCCCCCCGGGCACGACCCATCCGAAACATCTGAGCGCTGCCTGAGCTCGCTGCCACGCAGGCACAGCACCCTGACAGCAGGGTCACAGGGACCCTCGGGACCCCCGCCTGCCCCAGCCCAACGCTCGGGGACGTCACAGCCTGCGGGAGATCTGACCGCCAGCACAACCCTCCCGCCCCGTCCGTCTGTCTGTCCCTGCCCAGCTGAGGAGCAGCCGGCCACGGGCAGGTTTTCCCCCCCGAACCGCAACAAGAGCCGGACACGGTTCTTCTCCGCGGGGCTGCCAGAACGGTCCCACCACAGCCAGCCCCGCCGAGGCAGCACACGCACACGTCCAAAGAAGACACCTGAACTTTATATAAAAACCACAGACATTTCTGCACGCACACACACGTGGGGACACGGCAGGGCGAGTCGCTGCCCAGCCCGGCGCGGGGCGAGCGCCGCTCCCCGCTCCCTCCCCAGGACACGATTCACATTTTCGACGTATTAAAAAACGAACCGAGCACAGACACACACAGCACATGCCGTGGGGCCGCCGCGCCGGCACCGCCCGGCCGCGCGCGTGGCTCCGGGTCCCGCAGCGGGACGTCACAGTGAGTCGGGGGCGCGAGGGGGCCGCGGCCGTCCCCCCTCCTGCCCTCTGCATAGAGGGGGGGGCCGCAGCCCCACGGAGCCGGGGCCGCACCAGCAGCCGGGGCCAGGCGCCGTGCCCGTCCCTGCGGCGGGGACACCAGGCTGGGGATAACGTCCTGCGCGTCCCTGGAAGGCACGCGGCACCCCTCGCACCCGGAGCCCCCCAAGGTGATGCCCGGGGCGGGGCGGGGGGAGCTAAGCCCCCCGTGGGTGCCGCAGCGGGGCGCGGGCTCCGGGCATGCACACACAGACAACACGGACCCCGGCCACGGCGCCGCGGTCCGGCGAGGCTCAGCAGAGCAGAGGTGGGCGAGGGCTCGGTCCTCGTCCCCGTCACACCACCGAGTCCTGGATCTCGGAGCCCAGGCGCACCCGGGGTCTTTGGCAGGCGGGAGAAACCTCCACGAAGCTGTCCCGGACGTGGAGGGGCCTCTTCTCTGACTCGGAGAAGGCGCGTGGGGGGCCCGGGGGCTCGTGCACGGGGGTGCTGACGATGTAGTTGTCCTGCAGCGCCTGGTAGCCCTTGTGCTCGGGGGCCGCGCTGGGCAGGCTGCTGCCGTTCAGGGGCAGGCTCTCCACGGGTTTGCGGGGCGGCTTCTGGTGCCGGCCGGGGTCCGCAGGCTCCAGCAAGGCTTTCATGCCGTCGCGGTGCCGGTGCAAGAGGAAGAGGGCCAGCACGAGGACGGCGGCCACGAAGAGCACGCACATCACCAGGAACTCCGTCCAGTAGGTCTTGCCGTCCAGCCGGGCCGCAGCGCTGCCCACCGCCGAGGTGCTCCGGGACGTGCTGACGGTCTCCAGGGCATCCCGGCCAGCGGCCACCTTCCTGCCGGGGTCCAGCGGCCCGCGGGCCAGCTCCTGCACGCCCACGCAGTAGCTGGCCATCAGCTTGCGGAAGCCTTCCTCCAGCGACCAGCACTCGTAGGTGCCCGCCCGCTCGGGGCTGCCCACCAGGATGAGGGCCCCGTCGGGCAGCACCAGGTAGGAGGCGTTGACGGGCGCCCCGTCGTGCAGCCAGCGCCGCGAGGCCAGGTTGGAGAGCAGCCGGCACGGCAGCGGCCGCACTGCGTTGGGGGGCAGCTGGATCCGCTGGCACGGGGCGCCCGAGGCTGCGGGGAGACAACCCGCGGGGATGTACATCAGCGAGGCGCCGGGGACCCCCGCCGTGGGCACGGGGGTGATGTGGGGGTGCCGCGCAGGACCCTGGGTGTCCTGAGGACGCCCCGGGCAGGCAGCACCCCCGGCCCCAGGGCAGCGCCTGCGGGAGGGAGCTCACCTGGGGGCAGGAGGACACGGGGACGGGGCTGGGAAGCGTTGGCGAGCTGGCAGAGCCGCTCCGTGTCGGCGTCCTCGATGTCCTGAGCCCAGAGCCTGCGGGCAGAGAGGGGTTGGGGCAGTGGGGTGCTGCGGGGGTGCTGCAGGGGGTGCTGTCGGGGGTGCAACACTTACTGGGGGTGCGCCAGGGCGTGCAGGGTGACCCTGCGGCAGGCACCCCGGCTCCAGGCGCAGAAGGGGTCCCGTGCCAGCACGCACTCCCCGCAGCTGCGGTACAGGCTGCAGTTGGCGAAGGGCACCTGAGCCACCGCTGTGTAGGTGGCTGCGTAGACCAGGCCCTGCAGGAGGGAGGACGGGGGGGGGGGGGGGGTCAGCCCCGGCGCCGTGCAGCGGGGTGGGCTCCTGCACACCCCTGCCCTCCCTGGCCGCCAGCCCACAGGCAGGATGTGCCCCACGCAGGCCTGAGCCCAAAGCATCCCCCCCCCCCACACACTGCCTCGCCCCATGCACCCATGCCCGGCTCCTGCCTGGTCCTGGTCCAGCAGCAGCTGGAGAAGGGGGTGGCCGGCGGGGAAGAGGCGGATCTCCTCGATGATGTGCACCCCGTGGTTCACACGCACAGCCTTGTGCAACCGGCCGTCGTCTGCAAGCACAAGGGCCGTGCTGAGCGAGGACGGGACGCAGCGCGCCCGCACCCGCCCCGCCGGCGGCCCGCGGCTGCACCCACCCGTGCCCAGGAAGAGGACGTCGTAGGTGCCGTGGAGGCCCTGGGCGCGGTGGACGCCGATCTGCTGGTAGCGCAGGCGGCTCTGCAGCAGCAGCGGCTGGCTGCGCACGGGGCTGTCCATCAGGAAGTGGTCCTTGATGAAGTTCAGCACCCGGTCCGGCATCTGGAGGGACGAGTTGATCTTCAGGTGCCGCGTGTGGCTGGTGATGCACTGGGGAGAGAGGAAGGGGCTCAGCCGGGGCACCGGGTGGGTGGGTGGCCGCGCTGCGGCGGCTGCCAGGACCGGGACAGCGTGAGGGGCTGCCCCACGTCCCGCGCTCGTGCAGGCACCCAGGAGGCGCTTACCGTGCCCGGCCGGGGCTCCGGCACGGGGCCGGTGTCCGTGTACCACTGCTGCGTCTCACGGTTCACCTCCTTGTAGAGCCCGCCGAAGGCTCGCTGCACGCTGCGCATGGGGAAGGCGCACACAGCCGAGCTGCCCAGCCCGCCCTTGTTCCTGGCAGGGGAGAGGCAAAGCCCGCGGGGAGATCAGGCACCCCGGCTCCGCCGAGCCGCCCCGCACCACCCCAGGAAGCTGAGCGTGGCCAGAGCCGACCCGCACCCCCCCCCCCCCGACCACCCCACAGCACTCCCGGGCCCCCCGCCAGCCGCTCACCACTGTGAGGTGAAGACCCCGTAGAAGAGCGTCTCCCTCCAGCGCAGCTCCCCCGGGGTGAGCACGAAGACGTCCTGCAGCACGTTGAAGGGGAAGCCGTCCTCGGGGTGTGAGCAGAGCAGCTGAGCCTTCAGGAAGGTCGTCCACCGCCGCTGCAGCACGCGCTCCCCGCCCTGGTCCCCCTGCGCGGCGCAGCGGGTCAGGGCGCGATGCCACGGCCGGGGGGAGCCCCCCGGGGCTGGGCGAGCGGGGCAGGGGTCTGTCCGTCTGTGCAGCCGTGCCGAGGCCCCGGCGGAGCCAGCCCGGTGTCAAGGAGCACAAGTGAAGCAGCAACCGATGTGCCCAGGGGAAGGGAAACACGACCCGAGAAGAGGACAGGGCTTGCATCCCCTCTGCGGGGGGGGCAGAGGGGATGGGGAAGGGTCGCTGCCACTACCGGGGCCGGCGGGAGCAGCGGGCTCGAGCCGCAGACCTGGGTTGGGCGCTTTGGAGCCATAAATGCTCCAAAGGGGTCTCCCATGGGTGCTGGGGTCCCCGCCTGCGGTGTCCAGGAACCGGGGTTGTTGAATGCAGATGCGCGGGGTGGTCCCACACCTCCCCCCCCCCGGTCACCGCAGCAGTGAGCACAGCCCCCCACGCACGCCCCCCGCCCTGCGCCCACCTTGCACACGCGCGCGATGCGGGAGACGATGGTGTTCTCAAAGTAGTCGAACTCCTTGCCGGTCTCGCTGAAGAAGAAGTAGACCTTGTCGTCATCGCCCTCGGGGTTGCCGGCAGGCAGGCTCTCCCGCAGGTAGGCTGAGCCCACGAAGACCGGGTCTGGGGACACAGGCACCCTCAGCATCGCCTCGCCGCCGGGGCTGACCCCGTCCCCACGCCTCCCCCATCCCGGGGGGACGCAGACCCCGACCTGCCGTGCCGGCCCCGGCCCTCACCCTGCAGCCAGTTGAGGGAGTTCTCCGTCTTGAGGGCGATGCGGCTCTCCTGGCTGCGGTAGATGGTCGGCTCGTTGCCCTGGAAGTTGCTGACAGTCCCGGCGTAGAGCTCGCCGTCTGCCAAAGAGACGTTCCCGCTGGGACCCGGCCCGCGCCACCCGCACGGCCCCGCACCCCACCGCACTCCGTGCCGGCACGGGGGAGCCCAGAATTTTCCCTTTTCAGCGGCCCCCCCCCTCAGCCCGGCCGAGAGGGCGAGGGCCCGGGGGCGGCGTGCCTTACCGACCATGACGGCCGTGGAGCGGTACTCGGGGTCGAAGGGGCAGCGCCCCTTCCCGTCCTCCAGCAGCACCTTCCCCGACGCATCCCGCTCCAGGCTGAAGCGCCGCACGTCCTGCAACGGGACCGGGCTGTGAGCCGGCAGCACCCGGGACCCCAACAGCGGAGGGGGGACCCCGCACCCCCAGAGGGACCCGCGGCCCCTGGCCCCGCTCCCCATGCTCACGATGTAGGTGCAGGCCGGGCTGAAGGCGCAGGTCCCGCAGGTGTAGAGGTGGGTGCTGTTCAGCTGCAGCAGCATCTTGATGTAGTTGTGACAGTCTCTCTGCGGGGGCGAGGGGGGCCGGCTCAGCCCTCCTGCCCGCACGCACCACGGCACGAGGCGCTGCCCGCCCCCGCCGCAGCCCCCAGACACCCGCCGGCAGCGGGGCTCACCTGGGGGTCCTTGCCCTTGAACACGCACTGCCTCTTCTTCTCCTCATCCGCGCTCCACAGCAGCTGCAGAGAGGGGAGGGTCACTGGGAGCCCCCCCTGTCACCGGCTGGTCCCCGCACACCCTCTCCTCGGGCTGGCGGAGCTGGCTCCCAGCACCAGTGTCCTCCCCACCCCAATCACACTGGTGAGGCAGCTGCTGCCTGGGGACAAGCAAGCACCCCACTGCCCGGGGACAAGCACCCCCACTGCCCGGGCACAAGCACCCCCACTGCCCGGGGACAAGCACCCCCACTGCCCGGGGACAAGCACCCCCACTGCCCGGGGCAGCTGCCTCCACGCTGTCCCGAGCACCTCCCAAACGTGCAGCGGGTTGTGCAGACCCCAAACACCGCCGGGGAGGGGACCCCCCACCCCAGAGCTGGCTCGGTGCCCCCCTTTGCCTCTCAAAGGGCAGCCCAGCCCCGGGGGCTCCGCGATCCCGCACGGGGCTCATCCATCCCCTGTCCGCAGGCTCACCCTGCGAGCCGGTGCCCCGGGTTGGAAGTGGCTGGTGTTGACGGCGACGAGCAGCTCGCGTGCCCCCAGGTACAGGGTGCTGCTGTCCGGGCTCAGCAGCAGGGCCGTGTAGTTGGACACGCCGGGCACCTCGAACCGCTGCACGACCCGCTCGGCTGAGTCTGGGAGAGGGGGGCGGAGAGCGACGGGCATCAGCCTCGCGCGGGTCAGCCGTGCCACGGCTCGCTCCCAGCCCCGGGGACGGCACCAGGCACTGCAGCCAGGTCTGCGCTCGCACGCCCCCGGGGCTCAGCCCGGCCCGGCCCTGCGGGCACCCCAAGCTTGCAGCACGGAGAGTCGGGTGCCGTGGCCGGACGCCGGGGCAGAGGCTGAGTCACGGAGCGCCCGTCCCGCGTGGGTGGCCGGGCCCCGGAAACCCTTCCTCTCCCACAGCTGTGCTGAATCAGATGGGCCCGGCTGTGTCAGCGGGACACGTCGGGCTGACTCACGCTGTCACCTCCCTGACACCCTGCGCCCCGGGGACGCCTCGACCTTCCCCGACCCCCTGCCCGCTCCCGGGTCCCCGACAGGATGGTCCCGGAGCTCCCGCGAGCCCCTGCTCAGCGCAAGCCACCACGATGGCTCGAGGTGCTGCGGGGTGCACCCTGCTCCTCTCCCCCTCCCCTGTCGTTTCACGAGCTCCGGCTGCTGCTGGATGGGACGGCATCTCCCCTGCCCCCGGGGGCTCAGCTGGCCCCTGGCCCAGCACCTGCCCCAGCTCTCCTGCAGCACCACAGAGGAAGGGATGCCGACTGACCCCCCCGCTCCCAGGGCATCCTCCAGTGAGGGGTCCCGCACCCCAGCACAGGGTGATGCCACCTGTGGTGGGCACAACCTGGTGCAGGCAGCGGAGGGACAGCGGGGGCCCCTGCACCCCACAGGGTTGTCCCGGCCCGGGGAGCTGCGGGAGCCCACGCCGGCTGCCAAGGGACCTGTTAGGACAAGACCTGCTTCTTCCAGACAAACCTGCTGGAGGCACAGCCAGCGCTTCCCGGGGAGCCGCTCGCCAGCTCCTCCCTCCCACCAACCGCAAGCCCCACGCGGCCGCGGTCCCCGGGAGACAGCGCCGGGCACCCGGCAGAGCGGCCGGCCTGTGCCCCCCACCCGAACCCCCGTGGCAGCGCTGGGGGTTCAGGTCAGGACCCCCGGGTGCTGCCCGCGGGCTGCAGCCCAAGCAGCCTCTGTGGGTGGGCAGAGCTCGGCCAGAACCGGTCTGTGCAGGCAGGGCCGGGCAGCGCGGCTCGACGCGGCGCGGCGTGGCACGACACCGAGCTGGGCTGGGCTGTCCCGCTGGCTCCCGGTCCAGCTCGGCGGGTCCCGGATCGGCCGGTGCCGCCGCAGCCGTGGCCAGGGGGTCACGGGAGCACGTGGCGGGGCCACGTCCACGCCGGCGAACCGCAGCGCGCCGAGCCAGGGAGTGCTCCCAGCTGCCCGCGCCTCGCTGCCAGAGCCGGCCCGGCCCAAACCACTGCACCCTCCCAGGCTGCCCAGCCGGCAGCCAGCACGGGACGGGCCCCACTGGCCGGCGGCAGCTGGATTTAGCCACCTTCTCCTGGCAGCACAGCCAGCCCAGACACATGTGGGCGGCCCCCACCACGCCACAGCCCCGGACGATGGAGCTGGGCCCAGCAGCTGCTGGTGCTGAGCTGCCCGTGAAGCGTGTCCTGCTGCTCACCCACCCCACGCCAGCTGCCGGGGTGACTCTCTGCAGGGACAGAGGGGTCTGCAGGCCGGGCCCCCCAATTCCGAGGGGCTCTGCCTGGCCGAGCAGCCTCCCGGCTGCCCTTCCCCAGCACAGCCCCGAGCCCAGCCGGGGCCCCGCTGCTGCTGGGGCTGCAGTGGGTCCGGAGCAGCCTGGGGCCAGGCAGAGCCCCAGGGACGCAGCTGAGAGGGGAGGGGGCCTGCGAGCACCCAGCTGCCCAAACGAGGAGGGAACCACCCAGCAGAGCACTCTGGCTCGCCGCATCCCCTGCTCGAGCAGGATTTGGCCGCCGCCATCACCTGCGCGTAGGGACACCGCCACCCTGGGGTGCCCCAGGCCCCGCTCACACCCCCCGGTGCAGGTCCCGATGCAGGGAAGCCTCTTTGCTCCCCGACTGCCGTGCGTGAAGCCCCGGGGGCTCTGCCCAGCCCTTGCTGCTGTGCCCCACTGCCGGGGCGCCCCGCTGCCAGGGCACCCCGCTGCCCTGCGTACCCCCCGGCAGCACGGCCGCCCCAGCCCCAGCCCCACGGCGGGACACAGGCCCCAGCTTGCCGGGCTGGCTGGGAGGGTGCTGTACAGGCTGTCACAAGGCGTTTCCACGCGGGGCGGCCCCCGCGGCGTGGGGAGCCCGGGGAGCGGGGGAGATGCTCCGCCGCCCTCGGGCGGAGGTGGGGGGTGTCCCCGCCGGCCCCCCCCCCGTAGCCCCACGCGGCGGACACCCCCGTGGGCCGGCGGACACTCACCGTAGGGCAGGCTGACCCGCGGGACGGGCTCCTGCGCCGCCGCCAGCAGCAGCGCGGCCAGCACCGAGTGTGCCAGGACGGGCAGCGCCGGCCGCGCCGCCATCCCGGGCCGGGCCGGGGCTCCGCCGCCTCCCGCGAAGCCACCCGGGCGCTGCAGACCTGCGGGGAGAGAGGGGCTCGGTACGGCTCGGTACGGCTCGGTACGGCCCCGGCCCCGCCCCCGGGGCTGCCCGCCCGCCCGCCCCCTCGGGCCCCGGGGCGGGACCGGGCGGGGCGGCGAGGCGCGGAGCCCAGCCCAGCCGTACCGAGCCCCCGGGACGGAGCCCCCGGGACCGAGCCCCCGGGACCGAGCCGCGCCGGGGCCCCGGGCGGGGCGGGCGGCTCGGAAGAGGAGGCGGCCGGTTCCCCGCCGGGACCGGGGCACGGCGGCCCCGTGGGGCGCCCGGTGCTGCGAGCTGCCCTGCCCTGCCCTGCCTCTCCCGCCCCGTCCCACCGAGCGCGGGCACGGTCCCGAGTGGCCGGGCCTTTGTCCCACGCACCGACGGCAGCCGGGGGCTCCCCCGCACCCACAAGTCTCTCCCTGCGGCGGGGAAACCGGCTGGCCCGGGATCCCGGGATGACATCTGTCCCGGGGATGATGTCTGTCCCGGGGGTGTCTGTCCCGGGGATGATGTCTGTCTGGGGATGGCTGTCCCGGGGACACCTCGGCCCTGTGGCCCTGCGGGGAGCGCTGCTGCTCTCACAGCTCAAGCTTCGCTCTGTCTCCACGCCCCACAGAGGTTTCCCCAGCTGTCCGGCCGCCCTGCGTGCCCGGGGCCGTGGTCTCTGCTGGGGGGCTGTGTCCCCCTCCCCAGCACAGCGCAGAGCTCCCTGCCCTCCCTTGGGGAGCAATAGGAGCCCACGGGGCACGGCGCAGCCAGGCAGTGGGACGCCTGTGCCAGCCCACCCCGCTCGCCAGCACCAGTGCTCCCCCAGGGCAGCACCCGGGGACATGGGACTCGCCGCTGCCAGCCCCCGCGCCCTGTCCCTGGGGGGTCCGGGCTGACCATGGTCGCGGTGGGACCGCAGAGTGGGCCCACGGGGGTGGCCGTGCCCTCGAGCAGGCAGTGCTGGGCAGGACCCTCCACCCGGGCCTGTGGTGGGCTCAGCACCCCGGCCGGGGTGCGGGGAGAGCTCGCGGCCCCCCCGGCAGAAGCCCGTGCAGACCCCAGAGAGCTGCCCGCTCGTCCAGCGGTTGCCATGGCGACGCGTTATTAATGACAGCTGCTTATTTTGCCATGGCAACGGGGGGGGGGAAAGGGTCTCTCCTGGCAGCAGGCAGCTCTCCTGGGGCCAGGGCTGCCCTCCCACTGCTCTCCCCGCGTGGGGCAGAGCTCCCCACCGCCCTGCTTGGCCAGCCTTGGCCCTGGCACCCCGGGCCGTCACCACCCCACCGGTGGGGCCCCCCGCGAGCCCCTCACCCGGGAGAAGCGCTTCCCACGCTCCCGGGGATGGCCGTGCCCACGCTCCCACGCTCTGCCCGCCCGGCGCTGCCGGAGGGTGCCCGCTCCCCAGGCCGTACCTGGCGCCCAGGGGCTGGGGCTGCCGGCAGCGCCCCTGCCTCCCTCCTCGGCTCGGCTCCCTTCCTGCTCACCGGAGGCCGATGTCCCTTCCCGGACCGGGGACAACCCCGCTGGCTCCACCCCACCTGCCTTATCAGCACCCTTTGCCCGGGAAGTGCCACAGCCGGGACAGGGCTCTGCGTCACGGAGCCAAGCAGGCATGTCACCCTGCGTGGGGTGGGAGCAAGACACTCACCCCCGCAGCCATGGCCCACCCCAGGGGGGCTCCGGGGGACGTGCCAACACCCCGGTGTGATGGCATGCGGCGAGGGGAACCCCCCCTGTGGGGATGCCGGGTGCTCTCAGGGAGGGCAGGCAGGGGGGGCAGGAGGAGGGGGGGCAGGCAGGGGGGCAGGCAGGGGGGGCAGGATGCCCTGGCCCCGGCTGGGCAGCGAGCAGGCAGCGGAGCGAGGCCAGAGCCTGCGCCTTTAAGCGGGGCGGCGAGGCGCTCCCCACGGCTGCTGGCAGCCAGGCCTGTTTACGACAAACTCCCATTTATCTCCTCGGCCTGCCCACGCAGGCTGCCAGCGCGGGGCAGCGCCGGGGGCACCCTGCAGCACCCTGCCCCGCTCGCACCCCCGCGCAGGCGCAGCGCCCGGCCGGGCCGGCATCTGCCTGCCCTGCGCCGCTCGGCAGGTACCTGCACGCCCACCCTCCGCCTGCAACGGAGGCTGGCGACGGGGAAACCGCTCGGGGGGCAGCACCCAAACCTGTGGCCTGGGGTCACCAGGTTGGTTTCTGCACCAAATTCCCACGCCGGCGCCCGCCACCCTGTCCCCGCGGGCGGTGGGCGCCTGGGAAGGCGGCTGCGGAGCTGGGTGCCTGCTGCCTGCGGGGAGCAGGGCCGGGGCTGCGTGTGCCCCACTGCTGCTGCTTGCGTGCTCACGCCTTCCTTCTGCAGCCTGCCCCAGCACGGGCAGCAGCACGGGCAGCAGCAGGGGCAGCAGTGCAGGCAGCTGTAGTTGCAGCAGCGCAGGCAGCAGCGCGGGCAGCTGTAGAGGCAGCAGCGCAGGCACGTCCCCTGCTCGCAGACCTGCACCCAGCTCGCACGCAGCCTACGCGCCCGGGCTCTTCCTCCCGACCCACATCTCCCGTGGCTCGCACGCACGCCCCCGGCTCGGCTCTCTCCCGGAGGCTGCCAGACAACACCAGGCGGTTCCCCCCTGAGTCGTCGTGTCCCCCAGCTCCCCCCCCCCCCCCCGGCAGCGGCCTCCCCTCGGCCGTGCACACGCGCAGAGCGTGAGTGTGCTTGCACGCACACCTGCAGCCGCGCAGGCTCCCGGGCCGTGCTGATTCACGCACAGATGCTCCCAGCCCCAGCTGCTCCCACCACACCGCGTGTCCCGCCGGAGCCGGGCTGCCTCGATGGCACAGCCGCCGCCGTCGCCGCGGCAGGGAGGAGGGTGACGCGGGCACCCCGCAGCCGGCAGACCCAGGGGAGAGGGCTCACTCGGGACGAGGGGAAGGGGCAGGAGCTGGGGCAGCCCCCAGCCCGCGGAGCAGGAGGGCCAAAGCCTGGTGCCGGCCCGGAGCATCCTCCCTGTCCTGTGGGCACAGGCTGTGCCACCCTGCCCCAGCCAAGGGTCTCCCGTGGGGCCGCAGCCCTGCTCTCTGCCCCCCCCCCAGCCACACAAAGCCTGGCTGCCCCTGTGCCCCCACCCCGGCCAGTTCTGACCCCACTGCCAGGACCTCCCGGGGTGCCAGTGCCTGTCCGACAGCAGCACACAGCCAGCCCCACGCTGCCCCACAGCAACCCCTCCACCCCGAGCTGTGCGTGCTGTGGGGTCCCCTGCACCCAGCCCACCAGGCACTGCGAAACACGCTCCCGTCCCATCACCCCCACGCTCCCACACATCGGGCTCGGCTCTGAGGACTATGGGGTATCCCCACGGTCCAGCTCCCCTCCTCAGCGCCAGCTCCTGCCTGCACCCACGCACTGCCTGCCCGGGAGGCTGCAGGACACACGGGGTGCTGCCCTGGGCCCCCGCAGCTTGTGGGGCACCCCTGGCACAGGGCAAAGCAGAGACGGCGAGCACCCTTTGGAGGGCAGGGACGTGGTGGGCTCTGAGCACGGGCAGTTCTGCACCCTGGGGTGCAGGAACTGGGGGGGGGTCCTGGCTTAGGGATGCGTGACCCCTCCCCAGCCACCCCTGGCCCCACAGAGCCCAAACCAGCGCCGGCCTCCTCGGCCCCCGCTCGCCCTCAGCCCGGTGGGACCCTCGCTGTGGTGCTGCCTGGGGGAGGAGGGGGTGCCAGACCCCAAAGCAGCCACAGCACCAGCTGGAGCAGCCACTGGGGACCCCGCAGCCACTGGGGACCCCACAGCCACTGGGGACCCCACAGCCACTGGGGACCCGACTCTCAGGGCATCCCCAAGCCCAAGGGCTGCTCCAGCACCTTAACGGTGTCGTCAGGTGCAGCAGCCGCGGGCCGGGGACACGCAGCACGTGTGCGGCCTGCAGGTGCCCAGGGCATGTCCACACGCGTGGGACACGCCGCACACGTGTGTGCCCCATACCTGCAGCCCAGCATGCACACACAGCTCCTCACAGGCCACCCGTGACACATGTCCAGGGCGCCACGCGTGTGCGCTCCGGCCAAGCACCGCGCGTTAACGCGTGCCCAACACGCATGTAAACACACGCAGGGGAGGCTGTACATACACACCCCGGGACGGCAAAACACACGCCTGGAAAGCACTCCCCCCCCGTGGGGAACGGCCCCAAGCTGCGGGTGGGCTGCCACCCGTGCGCCCGCGCCTGCACCCTGCGCACACACACATGCACCCCCCCCCCACCACCAACCACCCGTGGCCCTTTGCCACCCCCCACCCCACCCCCCCCTCCCCCCCCAGGTCCCTCGGGGTGCCCCGTGCACGTGCACACACGCAGCCCCTTGCACACCCCCTGTGCATGCACACGCAGACGCGCAACCCCCCCCCCCTCCCCGGCACCCCTTGCACACGCACGCTCGCAGGAACCGTGCACACCCACCCCCCCCACCCCCCGTGCACACCCCCTTGCACACGCACCCCCCCCCCGCTCCCCCCCCCGGCCCGGCCCGGCGCTCCCGCCCGCTGCTCACCGGCTCGGCGGCGGGTGCGGCGGGACCCGCCGGCAGCGGGGGCGGCTCCGGGGTCCCCACCCGCGGCGGGGCGCGGGGCGGCTCCGGCTGCTCCGCCCGCCGCTCGCAACAAAGGGCCGCCCCGCCCGGCCGCCCCCGCCGCCGCCCCGGCTCCCGCTCCGCCACCGGCACCGGAGCCGCTTCGGGCCTCCCTCCCGCCCGGGGAAAGGGGGGGGGGGTCGCTCCCAGTTCTGGGGGGCGGGAGCTGGAGGTGGGGGGAGGGAGAGACCCGGCGTGGGGGGGGCCGGGGCGACGCCGGCCCTGCTGGGGCCGGTCCACGGGATGATGCTTGTGGCCCCCCAAGAGCAAGGCTGGCCGCACGCTGCCCTGCCACCCTCAGCACGGGTGGGGGGGTGGGGGGGTGTCAGTGTGGGGTTTGGGGGGTGAGGGGGGCAGTAGCGTGTGCCCCCTGAGGAAGGGGGTGCTGCAGGGCGGCAGCCCCGGGAGCAGAGGTGTGGGTGCTGCGCCGGTGTCACCCGCTGCGGGTGCACGTGGCTCCAGGCATCACCGCCGGGTCCCTGCGGTGACACCCGGCTCCGGGCGTTTGGGGGTGACACCACGGCTCCAGGCACCTCGCGGTGACACACAGCTCCGGGTGGTTTGGGGGGTAGCCCACGGCTCCAGGTGTCCCCGCGGTGCCACGCTGGGAGCTGGGGGCCACTGGTGGGGTGTCAGCGGTGCACAGCGCTGCCGGAGTCTGCAGAGAGCCCGGGGGGGGCCCACCGCTGTCCCAGGCCAGGCAGGGGTGGGCGGGGGGCAGCTGTGCCCTGGGCACAGAGGGGTGAGCAGGGCAGGGGGCTGTGGGATGGGGGGTGAGCGAGGCAGGACACACAGCTGTGCTCCAGTGGGGGGGGGCAGCAGGGAGACACCCCCCCCGCCCAGTGCCAGAGCAGAGCTGCCAGCACGGCCGTGGCAGCAGCGCCAGCCCTCCCCCCGTAGCCAGCATGGTGGGCACCGAGCTGCTGGCGCTGGGCCGGGCGGGGGTCCCAGGCGGGGGTCCCGGGGCTGGCCATGGCCCTGCACCCCCTTCCTGGAGCATCCTTCCAGCCTGGCCGTGCCGTGGGCCGTTCCCGCCCCTTCTCCTGTCCCCGAGCGCTGCCATCTGCCCGCCTGGGCCACCCAGCCCCGCGGCAGCCCGGCTGCTCCGCCTGACATCGCGCCGTGTCCCCGGAGCCGCCGTGTCACCGAGCCCCGCGTGGCACGGGCAGAGCCTGTGCCGCGGGCAGCTGCCTGCTCTCTGCACCCCGGGGGGGGGCTTGTGGGGAGGGGGTTAGCGGTGGGGGGCCCACATCCATGTCACCGCTGGGGAAGGCAGGCTGCTCTCAAAATGGGGGGCACAGCCTACCCCCCGCTCCCCCCCCCCAGCAGCTCGGAGCGGTGCTGGTGAGGGAAGCCCACGTTTTGGGACAGCACCGCTTGCACAAGGGAACACCGCGAATCGCCCCACGGGACACACAGCTCCCTTCAGCCCCCCCCCCCCCCCCGGCAGACACAGGGCTCCCTGCAGGCAGCAGTGCACGCGTGGCCAGACCCCCCCTCTGCCCCCAGGTCCTTGCTCATCCTCTGGCTGGGCCCTTGGTGCCCCCACCCTGCTGCAGCTGAACATCCCCCCCCCCCCCCACTCTGGACACGTCACTCCTGGAGGCCCGGGTCCTCAGCAGCCAGCCCTGGCAGCCCCCAGGGACCCCCCTGGGGCCCGCTGCGCTGGGGGGGTCGGAAAGGGGGGGGGGAAAGCTGGTTTGGCAGCAGCCTGGGGCGTGTGGATTGGGCTCCGGCCAGGGATGGACTTCTTTGTTTGGAGGCAGCCCTCCCCTGGGCCGGTGCCACATGGCCGCTCTCGGCAGTGCCGGCGGAGCCCAGGCTGGGGGGGGGGGACACGGCTGCTGCGCTGGCCTGACCTCGTCCCTGCAAGAGCCGCGGTCACTGGGCGGCTCTGACCGCAGGGCCGGGGCGAGGGCAGCCGGGGGGGGGGGGGCAACCCTGCAGATGGGCAGCCCCCCCCTCTCCTCCTCCTCGCGCTGGGGATGGGGAGCAACAGCCGCCCACCGCCCCGCGGCAGGGCTGCGGGTGGGACGGGGTGCCAGGGGGAGCGGGGACACGCAAGACCCCCGCGCCGCCCCGGAGCAGTGGGTGCTGGCTTCCCCCCCCCCCCGGCCCCCGCAGCTGGCAGCCCCACAGGCTTCTGCTCTGGTTAATGTTAAAGCCAGGCAGACGTCAGCGCGCCGGGCCCTGCCTCCCCCCAGCCCCTCTGCCTGCGGCCAGACTATTTTTCCTCCCGGAGCGGGATCTGCCCGTCCCCTGTGGCTAAAAAAAGCCATCGGCTTGGCCCGTGCGGAGGGACAGCAAACCTCCTGGGCCGAGCGGCCTCCTGGCCGTCCCAGCACACCTCCCGGCCCCTGCGCGCGTTCTCGGGGTGCCCCTGGGGTGCATCACCCCCTTCCTCCCCATGCCGGGGTCAGGCGAGGCGAAGGTCCCCCCGGGGAAATGGCGGTAGCTGCCCGTCCCCCCCAGCCGCCCGTCCCGCGGGGTCCAGCTGCCCCGAGTCACGCGCCGGTGACACGCAGGATCC